TTCTTTGGCATGGCCAGCAATCTCATCTGGTAATCCCAGCTCTGCCCCTCTCATCTGCCCCTTCTCCACCCTGCCTGCCCTAATGAACCTGGTTGCCCAGTCACCTGAGGGGAGTGTCCTGGCCTTGTTGTGTCCCGGTAAGGTGGAGCAGCAAAGAAGCTGGAGAATAACAATTCCCTTGGAATTTACATGCCATTCAGGCCAGATGAGTTAACCACCCTTTAATGATTTAGTGTAGACCTCATCCGTCTTAAACAGCTTGGACAGCCAGAAAAATTAAGATCATCTCAGGAAGCTTGTTGGCTTTGAAAAGATTATAAATCCTCTTATCTCAGAAAGGCCAGGTGAAGGATTTGTAAATCCTATTAAGAATTTTAAACTTTATCCTTTATCCTGAGGCCAATGGGTAGCCATTGAATGGTTTTAAACAAAGGATGATGGCCTGATCAGATTTTTTGTTTTTTTTTTTGAGACAGAGTCTCACTTTGTTGCCCAGGCTAGAGTGAGTGCCATGGTGTCAGCCTAGCTCACAGCAACCTCAAACTCCTGGGCTCAAGCGATCCTACTGATCCTACTGCCTCAGCCTCCCGAGTAGCTGGGACTACAGGCATGCGCCACCATGCCCAGCTAATTTTTTGTATATAGATTTTTAGTTGGTCGATTAATTTCTTTCTATTTTTGGTAGAGATGGGGTCTTGCTCAGGCTGGTTTCGAACTCCTGACCTCGAGCAATCCGCCTGCCTGGGCCTCACAGAGTGCTAGGATTACAGGCATGAGCCACCACGCCTGGTCTGATCAGATTTTTTTTTGATCTGGAAAGAACCCTCTGGGTAGAGGCAGTTGTAGGATTTAAACATGTTATGTTTTTTTTCTTTTGAGACAGAGTCTCCCTCTGTTGCCCAGGCTAGAGTGCCGTGGCATTAGCCTAGCTCACAGCAACCTCGAACTCTTGGGCTCAAGCGATCCTCCTGCCTCAGCCTCCCAAGTAGCTGGGACTACAGGCATGCACCACCATACCTGGCTAATTTTTTCTATTTTTGTTAGGACAGGGTCTCATTCTTGCTCAGGCTGTTCTTGAACTCCTGAGCTCAAAGGATCCTCCTGCCTCGGCCTCCCAGAGTGCTAGGCTCACACTTACAGCGTGAACCACCACGCCTGACCAAGTTGTAGGATTTAATGATTAAGAGACTAGAGGGTGGGAAAGGGAGGACTCCAGGTGCCCCTGGGATTCTGCCCAGGACAGCTGGGTGGGGAGGAGGAAGAGCAGGAAGGGGAGAGAAAGACAGGGGAGTAACTCCCTTTCCAACCAGGTTAATTAGCATACCTAAGGGTAAGGCCCAGGGCAGGCTGGGATTTGAGGCAAAATCTAGCAGGCTGACTTCCAGATGCTTGTGCCCCCAGGGCTTTTGCTGGTTGGCTACTTGGTCACAGGGACCCAGGCCCAGGAGGGATGGCCCCACAGGCCAGGCTGGCCCAGGGAATTGAGCATTCTGGGAGGCTGCTGCTGGCCCAGCAGCGGAACTGGGAACACTGGGGAAGACCTTGAGACTGTGGAGATTGCTGAACCCATGAGACCGCTAATCTCTTTCTTCCTGTGTAGGGAGTTCTAGACCACCCCTTCTTCAGGGGCTGTTTGAGTTGGAGGTTATCACATTCCTGGAGCTTTTCTTTCCTTTTCTTTTTTTGAGACAGAGTCTCACTTCTGTTGCCCTGGCTAGAGTGCTGTGGTGTCAGCCTAGTTCACAGCAACCTCAGGATTGCTCAAGCAATCCTTCTGCCTCAGCCTCTCAAGTAGCTGGGACTACAGGCATGCGCCATCATGCCCTGCTAATTTTAGATAGATAGATAGATAGATATAGATTATAGATATATATTTATAGATACATAAAAGATATATATATCTTTTTATTTTATAGTAGAGATGGGTCTCACTCTTGCTCAGGCTGGTTTTGAACTCCTTACCTTGAGTGGTCCTCCCTTCTTAGCCTCCCAGAGAGCTAGGATTACAGAGCTAGGATTACAAGCATGAGCCACCGCACCCGGCCCTGGAGCTTTTCAATTTGACATGTTTTACTAATTTTATACTTAAAAGAAAGTATCATCCCAGGTGTAGCCCCAGGAAAAAAAAAATCCCCGTCCTTCCCCTCCCAAAGATCTACAGCCTGCAGGAGACTGGTGCCAAGGTGACTTAGGACAGCATGGGCTGGGACCAGTGCTTTAAGAGCAGTAAAAGACCCAGGCAAACCTTGGAGAGTCAGAGTTCATCCAAACTGTGGGCATCAGGGAAGGTGCAGAAGGTAATTAGTTTTCTGGGCCCTAAAGAAAGGTTGACTTCCACAGGTAGAGAGAAGAGGGCAAGACATTCTCAGAAGAGAGAACAGTTTGTGCAAAGATCCAAAGATAGGAAAACATAGGACATCCTGGAGCCAAGGGAGCTTTGCAGGAGCACAATACCTTCAAGATGTAAAGAGACACAATTGGTCCTATTGCTCAGATTCACAAGATTGTGACACTCTTGGGACAACAACCTAGCCTTGGCCCTGAATGCAAGCATCATCATCAATAGCTGAGATAGAAATTTCCTGGTGATAGAAATTTCCAGCATTTCATGCCTGGAAATGCTAGGAAACTCAGTCCCTAATTGCCTTGTTCCCAAAAAGCAACTTTCCAGATCCTTAAGATGTACATTTTTGGTAGTACCCTCATCTCTCTTTGCAACTTACTTCCTTACCTGTATCTTTCCATTTCCCTTCTATTTAAGCTTTTAGAGGAGAAGATAAGTACAAACATCCCTACAGAACACTAAACTCATCATATTATATTTCAAAAGAAATCTAGTGTCCACCTAATCTTCAAAGAGGCCAAAGGTGCCCCGTGAGTCTCAAAGGTGAGACTCAGATGTGAGCAGAGCAGGCGGGGGCCAGCAGAGGACCTGATAGGAAAGTCCAGTTCCTAAATGAAAGGCAAGAAGGAGCAAGCCTGCTTGAGAGTGAATTGCACTGAAAGCACAGGACCTCCTCAGGGACTTCAGAAGGTTAAAGTCCACCTGCATGCGTAGCTTCAGCTGAGGCTGGTCGGGCAAGATCAGATGGTAATTTCTATCCAAATAGTATCTCAAGGGTTAAGAGAGGAGATTTTCAGGCTTCACATTTTTCACAGCCAAGAAATGAGGCTCCTTTCTCTGTAGGACATCCTGGGGAGAGTGAGTGGCCTTGGGACCTGGGAATTGGGTTGGGATGGGTTGATAAGCAGGCTCCAGTAATTGCAGATTTGCTACAGTATGGCAGGGTGGGGACCGGGTAGGTGGGATCTCATAGTCCATGCTTTGCCATGGAAGTTGGGAGTCAGGGGAGAGGCATAACACCATTATTCAACTTTTCGTTGACTTTGTTATTTTACTGAGAACCTATAAGTCGAGTTATTATTCTTCGTTGAATAATGAAGTTTGGAAGCAAGTTCAATACATAATAGATAATTGTAAACTACTGACTTGTAAACATTCACAATTGTTTACAAATACACGACTAGCATTGTGTTCCTTTAGGGCCTCTTGGCCCACAGATCCCCATAAGGACCAGATTTTCCAGCAACAAGAGTGAAAGCCCAGACAGCCTCACAAAAATTTCCAATTTCTATCCTTTGGTGGTCCTCAGGCTGGGCTTCCCATTGCAGGGAAAGACCTGCCTGAGGCCAGGGAGGGGTTGGGGGCCAGAACCCAGAATCACCCAATCTAGGATTAAATCTAAGAAGGAGGTTGGGCCATCAAAATGCTTTCTTCCTCTGTAAAATCATTTCACAGGCAGACAAGCAATGATTACCTGAGGCTTCCCTTGTCCCTCCCTCAAACACTTGCCTTGGGCATAGGCCAGTAAGTCAAGTTTTATTTGGGAAAGGGGGAAAGTGAAGCTCCAGCTCCCAAAAAGACTGAGCAAGAAAGCAGGTAGCAGTGAGGTACTTAGGAATGAGCCACAGCATCACTAAGCAGACGGGGTAATGTATAGTGGCTGTTTTGAGGTCATGGATGGGTTAGCATGAGGAGTATAAACTATATATAAACAGAGAATTTCAGAGAAGAGACCAACATACCAAGGTATTTCATATTTAGTAACTGCAAATGCAAAGCATGAACCTTTACTCTGTTTTTTTGTTGGTTTTTTTGAGACGGGGTCTCTGTCGCCTGGGCTAGAATACAGTGGCATCATCATAGCTCATTGCAACCTCAAACTCCTGAGCTCAAGCAATCCTCCTGCTTCAGCCTCCCGAGTAGCTGGGACTACAGGTGTGCACCATCATGCCTGCCTAATTTTTCTATTTTTCTGTAGACATGGGGTCTTGCTCTTGCTCAGGCTGGTCTCAAATTCCTGATCTCAAGTGATCCTCCTGCCTTAGCCTCCCAGAGTGCTAGGATTACAGGCATGAGCCACTGTGCCCAGACGTTTTTATTCTTTTTTGATTCCCGACCAACGTTTACTGATTGTCTACTATGGGGCAGTTATTCAGAAGGCACTGAGGATGCTGTGGTGAATGGGTGGTGGGGTCACAGAGGACAGATGAAAGGACAGTCACCAAAGCCCCTGTGTACTATAAATCAGGATACCTGTCAGCATAAGCATCATCACCATTTTCATCGTGGCTAACACTTATCCTAACATTGTGTTTCCTATTTTGCTGGGCACTGAGCTGAGTGCCTTAAATTCATCCTCTGGTTTAATCCTCACATCTCCTCAAGGCAGGTGTGTTTATCATCCCCACTTTACAGATGAAAAAGTCTGAGATGCAGAGAAGTTAAGACTTGCTAGGAGGAGGCAGAACTGTAACTTGATCCAAGGTCTGACTCAAGAAAGCATGTACTTGACCATGGGGTAAAGAGCAGAATCCCTGAGAGAGTAGAGCACATGCCTTCAGCTAAGCACAGGGGAGATCCCCCAGCCCTCTCCACTCTCACCCTCTCCCTGCTTTTTTCAGCCCAAGAAGGATGACAATACCATTGCCCTACTGACCTGGTAACCTGGACCAGACCAGGGAGGCTCTGAGTCAGAAGCAGAAGATGCCAGACAACTTCACATCTAGTTGTTAGGTCATGAAGTAGGATCAGGAATGGAGTTGAAGTCAGGGACAAGATAATCGTGCCTTCCCAGCATAATTATATCCCTTGTACTCTGTGATGAAAATGATTGAGTCAGAAGGTCTTGCTTTGTGCCAGAGTCACTTGACTGGCTCCCCAAAGTGGCCACCCAGGGTAGCTTTTCCTCGGTAAATTTGCCACACAGCTTAAGCTGGCTCACAGCCAAATCAGTGTCCTGGGGGGCTTATCTGCCTGGAGGATCCTGACTCCCAGCAATCCAACTCATAGGAGGCCAAAGTATATAACCACACGCCAATATAATCATTAGCAGTTGGTGTTAGCTCTTCAGTAACTGGAATGTTCCTCCCCCAACTGGGGCAGTCTTTTTTTTTTTTTTTTTTTTTTAGACAGAGTCTCTCTCGCTTTGTTGCCCAGGCTAGAGTGAGTGCCGTGGCGTCAGCCTAGCTCACAGCAACCTCAAACTCCTGGGCTCAAGGAATCCTCCTGCCTCAGCCTCCCTAGTAGCTTGGGACTACAGGCATGCGCCACCATGCTCAGCTGATTTTTTCTATATATATTAGTTGGCCAATTAATTTCTTTCTATTTTTAGTAGAGATGAGGTCTCACTCTTGCTCAGGCTGGTTTCAAACTCCTGACCTTGAGCAATCCACCCGCTTCGGCCTCCCAGAGTGCTAGGATTACAGGCCTGAGCCACCGAGCCCGGCCAATGGGACAGTCTTTTCTCAACATCAGTGATCCCAGGGAGCCAAATTCGTCATTGTCAGGCTGGTTGGTGAGTGTATCTTGAGAGTTAGGAGAAGCTGACCTTCCTTCTGAGGGTGATTTCACCCAAGTCAGGGTGGGGTCTAGTGAATCATCTCCACCCCACAGCAGGTCACATCTGTGTGAGCACCAATTTCATGCTGCTCTTTCCTGGACAGTGAAGAGCAATAAGTGTGAACTTCTGGCTTTTGGCTTTATCCTATTTCTTTTTCCTTCCTCTTTCTGTTCACCAGCCTCGTCCCTCATCCTTCAGTTCACACATTCCCCATACAATAAAGTTGATGAGCTTGCTGATCATTCAGTTGTCATCACATCCCAGCCCTCCCCCTCAACACACACATCAGGGAAGTCACCTTGATGGGTGGGTAGGTTGTTCCCAAGCTCTTCGTTTCATTTACAAAACTTTTTGGTTTTTCCTCAAATATATTAGGTCGAACCTTATGAGATTATTGTTTTGGTAGATCAAAAACAGTGAAATAGCAGCAGCTTCATGTGATTAAATTAACAGCAAACCAGACCCTCTGGGGTTGGATGTGAGTCTGACTCCCTTCCCCAAACCTTGGTGGTGGGTATGTGTGTGTGTCTATGTCAGGGGGCGGGGAGGGGAGGCATGCATAGCATCCCTTTCCCTCTTATGGAAGGAAATAAGCTCTCCTGGCTAGTATCCGGTGTCTGGGGCCTCATTCCTGTTACTGTTCATGCATCCTCCAACTAGGGCCTTAATGCCAGGGATAAGCTAAGGAGGGACTTGAGGTAGAGGTTGAAGGTTGAATTCTTTGTTTTATGTGGCAGAGTTAGCATGTGTTCAGAAGCCAACAAAGAAACACTTTTTGATAGTCAATGGTTTGTGCATTCTTCTGTTAATGTGGAAAATTGGGGGCCGGGTACAGTGGCTCACACCTGTAATCCTAGCACTCCGGGAGGCCCAGGCGGGAGGATGGCTCAAGGTCAGGAGTTTGAAACCAGCCTGAGCGAGACCCCATCTCTACCAAAAATAGAAAGAAATTAATTGACCAACTAAAAAAATATATACAAAAAATTAGCCGGGTATGGTGGCACATGCCTGTAGCTATGTGGGAGGCTGAGGCAGTAGGATCGCTTGAGCCCAAGAGATTGAGGTTGCTGTGAGCTAGGCTGATGCCACGGCACTCACTCTAGACTGGGCAACAAAGCGAGACTCTGTCTCAAAACAAAAAAAAAAGAGAGAGAAAAAGAAAATTGGGGATTCACAGAGACATTTTTCATTTCACAAACATCAGCCAAATGCTTGTGTGATGTAGGCTGTAAGACTCAACACTATTCCTGCCTTCAAGAGTTTTCAATGTGCTGTCATCGTGGGTATACTCAGACATCTGCTTCTAATTGCCAGTTGCTATACAGTAAGCTCTGGGAGGGTAGGACCTGTATCTGACTTACTTTCCTTAACTCCTAACACAGACAGGGTCTTACATATAGTAGGTGCTCATTAAGTAAATGTTTTATATAAATGAAAGTAAATGTAAATATTTTATATAACATATAAAAGTTACTTTTATATGTTATATAACATATAAAAGTTGAAGTAAATGTAAATGTTTTATATAAATGAAATGAATGAATGAAAGTGGTTAAATAATAAACCAAACGTGAATACCCGAAGGCTTCCAATATCATACCAAAGAACAAACTCCGGGCATCGGAAGACCAGGAAATCAAGCTGCCTGTAGAGAATCAGAAGAGACCTTCCCCAGAAAAGAAGGTCTGCTCCTCAGTTGAAAAAGGGTGGAACAGCTCAGGCAGTGGTATAGTCTGCTTCACAGATGTTAGAGAGGAAGCCACAAATGAAAAGAAGGATTTTAGCCACCCATTTCCTGGCTAGCTCTTTGGCCAGCATGAGCTGCATTCCTTTGAGCTGAGCATGAGTGGAATTTCCAGCCTAGGTAGCAGAATGGAACTTGGAACAAATAGCTCAGCAGAAAAGAACTGAGAAACAATGGGGCCGGGTCCAGCTGCCCTTTGCCAGCTCTTGAGCTCATGGAATACTGGAGTTCACAGCAGGCCTTATCGAGGGAGATAAATGATGGTTTGGACTATAGGTCAGAGGACCCAGACAGAAATTCCCATGTTCAGAGAGCATTTTTAGGAACTTTGGATGTGCTGAAAATACCTGGGAATAGTCCTCATCACTATTCAACTTTCCATCTGGCAAGGACAAGTGAAGATCTGGTTTGCTTTAAGGATGGGGAAGATCCAAAAACAATGGAAGATGGAGGGAAGACACCTTCATCAAGAGAGCTGGAGGATGCTTCAGAGATGGGGGCCTGGTGATAGTGAGGGGGGTAGTGATAGCAGGATTCAGTGCACTGTGCAACCAATCTGAAGGAGGGTGGCAGGGGAAAGGAGTAACTGGTAGAAACAGATGCTATCTGTTTCAGGCAGGGGATTCAAAGAGAAAGGGACCAGCTTCACATAGGAGAGAATAATCACATACAATGACACAGACAGACACAAAGACACTGGTCTCTCTACCAGCCTGACCTGAATTTCTTACACTTGATCAAGTTCTGGGTGCATGCCATCAATCACACTGAAAAATGTGGTGGGAAGTTCTGCAGTGTCAGCCCTCAACTGCTGTTCCTTCTCTGCATTTTCTCAAGTCATTAATCCCTTGAAGACAATGATGTACTGATGCATTTCAGTTATTTATATCTAGATCTTCTCTTCTAGATTATAAGGGAACAGAGGGCAGGAGTCACAAATTACTTAACTTTGAATAGAACACATTGCCTCAAATATAGCTAAATAAGTGCTTCATAGATGAGGAAAGAAAGAAAGAGGGGGAAGAAAGAGAGGGAGGGAGAGAGAAAGAAAGAAGGAAAGAAAGAAAAATTTGATTAGAGATGTTAAGGGGTGGTGTTGAGCTGGTGCTTGGCCTACATCACAGGAAGATATGTGGTGTCACAGAAGGAAGTTACCTAGGACCCTCCTGGGCGGTTGGGGGCAGTTTATGTTTGGGGAATAATATATTTTGTTGGCCAAGGCTAGGTCCTTTACTTCTTGGACATATTCACAACTTAGTTCTTTAATAGTATGTGGTGGAAGTGCCCATCAATCCAAGAATGGATCAATAAAATGTGGTATATGTATACCATGGAGCACTATTCAGCTCTAAGAAACAACGGTGATATAGCACATCTTATATTTTCCTGGTTAGAGCTGGAACCCATACTACTAAGTATCCCAAGAATGGAAAAACAAGCACCACATATACTCACCAGCAAACTGGTATTAGCTGAGTAGCACCTAAGTGGACACACAGGTACTACAGTAACAGGGTATTGGGGAAGGGGGAGGGGAGAGGGGGACGGGTATATACATAATGAGTGACATGTGCACCATCTGAGGGATGGTCATGCTGGAGAATCAGACTTGTGGGGGGAGGGGGGAAAGGGCATTTATTGAAACCTTAACATCTGTACCCCCATAATATGCCGGAAAAAAAAATAGTATGTGGTGGGTAGGAAATGACAATCTCTCACAGGGAAATTGTAAAGGAAAAGACAAAGAAGTCACTCCATTTACTGGCTGGATTCAATCTGCCCCGCAAGACTACCAACATCCATTTCCTCAGTGTTGTGATAGCTCTCACCTCTGCCTTTAGAAGGAGGAAATGGAAAGTTAAAAGTCTTACACTAGACCACCATTTGCATACACAAGAATTCATTTCATTCTAAAGGCCCCAAGGGTACTGGTTTCCACCCCTGATAGCCATTCCCCTCCTTTATCAGGGATAGGAACTAAGGATAAACTGTAGTCCTCACCCAGACTCAAGTCAGGGTAGGAGGTGCTCTTTAAATGTATTTTAAAAATCAGGTGGGGGCGTGGTGGCTCACACCTGTAATCCTAGCACTCTGGGAGGCCAAGGCTTGAGGATCGCTCAAGGCCAGGAATTCGAGACCAGCCTGAGCAAGAGCAAGACCCCGTTTCTACCAACAATAGAAAGAAGTTAACTGGACAGTTAAAAATATATAGAAAAAATTAGCCGGCCATGGTGGCACATGCCTGTAGTCCCAGCTACTCGGGAGGCTGAGGCAGGAGGATCGCTTGAGCCCAGGAGTTTGAGGTTGCTGTGAGCACTCTAGCCGGGCAACAGAGTGAGACTCTGTCTCAAAAAAACCCCCCAAAAATCATTTATCTCGCATCCATGCGTGCTGAGCACTGTGCAGGGCAGCAGCTAACAGGTACGTTCTACCTTCCTACTGGCTTATTAAAGATCTTTTAGTAAATGGGATTTAAAGTTCACTGCTCCTCTCACTTTCATAATAACCATCCCGTAAAGATGAAAAGTAATGGTTGCCAGACCACAGGGTGGAAGTACAGAGGCGAGTATTGGGGGAGGGATAATCTTTAAAATAGTTGGCTTAACACAGTGCCCTTCCGTTTCACGAAAGTTCAAAAGAGTAAGAGGCCACAGATCGCTCCGGGCGAGCAGTCACAAGTGTACCGTACGCATGCGCCCAAACAGCACCCACCCGCCCCTACTGCTGGACCGCTTTGGCCAAGTCACCAACCGGCCCTCTAAATGCCCGCCCTCAAGGCTAAACCGTCGGCCAATCGGAAACCGGAGTCTTCAGGCACGTCATTATTTGCATATACCCTCCTCTCCCCGCCCCCACGCCGGGGTCCCGCCCTGTCTGAGGCACAGATTGTCACCTAAGCGCTCCGTCATGACACCTGATTGGCTCTTTTGCCAGCTCCGCCTCCATCTCCTCCCGCCGCCCGCCCCTCCGCGCTCCCACAGCGGCGGGCGGAGCAAAGTACGCAGGCGCGGGTGCTGCCTCTCTCTTCTGGTGGCCCGCCCTCCCTCCTCCCCCTCCCTCCCCTCCCCACCCCCTCTCCCCTCCTCTCCGGGCCTGCGCGCGCGCGTCTTCTTCCTGCACGCGCCGCCGCTAGACAAGCACTCTCGCCGGACCTCTGGCCCGCGCGTTCCTTTTCCTCTCTGGCTGTGAGGCGAGTGAGACCCTGCACCGCCGTCGCGGCAGCAGCGGCATCCCGGGCGGGCTCGGGCGGCGGCAGCGGCGCGCGACCCCCCGGGCGGACCGTACCACCGCTCGCCAGCACGCGGGGGGAGCCGCACGCCCCGCCGCACACGCCTCGGCGACCCCGCGGGGCTGAGGCGTCGCCGCGCCCGGCAGCGTGAGCGCAGAGCCGGCCTCGACCCAGAGCTCGGAGACCCGAGGGCCGCGCACGCCGCCGGCCCCACCCATCCGGGCCGAGGAGGCCGCGGCAATGGCCGAGACGGAGGAGCGGAGCCTGGACAACTTCTTCGCCAAGAGGGACAAGAAGAAGAAGAAGGAGCGGAGCAGCCGGGCGGCGAGCGCCGCGGGCGCAGCGGGCAGCGCCGGCGGGAGCAGCGGAGCCGCGGGTGCGGCGGGCAGCGGGGCGGGCGCGGGGCCCCGGCCGGGAGACGGCGGGGCCGCGAGCGCGGGGGCCGCCGGCCCGGGGGCCGCTACCAAGGCTGTGACGAAGGTGAGGGGCCGGCAGGCCGGCACTCGGGGCCCGGCCGCGCGCTCGCACCCATGTGCCCGCCCCCGCCTGCCTGGGGAGGCGTCCGGGAGGGGCCGCGGGGCCGGCCAGCGGCGGGCGGGCGCGGGGGCAGCCACGTGACGTCGGCTTCCCACGTCGGGCCGGGCTGGCCGGCACCGGGACCCCCCTGACACCCGTCCCCGACCCGCCCCCACACCCCGCGGCGCTCGGCTTTAGCCGCGGCTGAGGCGGCAGCACCCTCAAGGGGCACTTGGCTTGGGGCTGCAGTGCCCGGCACAGCGTTTATCGGGTGACGTCTGCTCTGAGTAATTTGGTGTGCTGGCTTAAGCCCGGTAGTTTGAGCTGAATTTTCTCCTAACAGTCGTATTTGTGGCACTCTGTTGTCATGACTTGGTCTCCAAGTCCGTAAAAGAAAAAGTCTCGTGGCAGTATTGGGGTAGAAATGTAGTTGTGGAATTACTATTGACTTTTTCATTCGCCTTTTTCTAGTTGCTTTAAAGTAACAGCTCTCCTGCGGGAACCCGGCGGAAGTAACAATGTTAGACTACTGAGCACGTTTGTCCTCCCAGTCTAGTCTCCTCGGGGTCAAGCAAGGGCTTCAGCTAGAAAATGAATCCATACTTAGTTTAGCCACTTGATCTCCTTTTCATAGTCTGTTATTTGTGTAGTCTTATGTTTACAAATAGCTTTAATTGATCAAATGGTATTTGTTTTACAGGATGAAGATGAATGGAAAGAATTTGAGCAAAAAGAGGTTGATTACAGTGGCCTCAGAGTTCAGGCAATGCAAATAAGGTATGGTCTAGTTACAAATGTGTTTAGGTAACCTTTAGGCTAGGTATTGGATACAAGTTTGCTTTTTTTTTTCTCAGTCCTTTAGTCCCAGAGCAGCATCACAGTAGCCTTGTGCTTTAGATTTGCTTATTAGGACTCTAATGGATTATGTCTATTCTTTCTCACTCCAGGAAGGCAGTCCTTCTATTTGCTCATCAAATTAGCTGCTAGCTCTAAAATCCTGTGAGAGCTTGCCTACTTCAGTTCTAGTTTGGCCTTTTCATTTGAGCCAGCTAAAATAGATTTTGTCACTTCCAATTTTGGTGCCTGAACTTAGTTTTTCTTTTTGTCTCAAAGATAATGTGGATGTTTTCAGATTCTCCAATAAGCAAGTTAATATATATTTTTGTAATTGAAGTATAGCATATTTCCAGAGAACAGATTTTTATGTGTTCACACTGAAATCAACCTGTGTAATCAACACCCAGGTCAAGAAAATGAACATGACTAGTATAGAACAAGTACCAGTATTCCTAACACCATCACTGTCTTCCTCCCCAAAGATAACCACTATCCTAATATCACAGCTTAATTTTTTCCTTTAGAACTTGATAGTAATGGAACCATACAATATAAGTTGTGTTATCTTTAAAGTTCAAGAAAACATAGTAATTTTTAAAAATTAGATTGGTTTAGGGGATTTGGAATCAAGAACATATTTTGTCAAGTCCAGTCTGTGGTATTCAACTTTAGATTGATGTTAAATAAATGCCATATTTTGAAGCGTTAGTAAAGTTGGGAAAAACCGATGAATGTATGGTTCTGGTTTAAGATAAAAAATGCTCTACTCCCAGTTTAAAGAAATAAAGGATCTTAATAAACTGCTTCCATTTTTGAAGTTTGCATTTTGTATGCAATGTCAGTGACTTCGTGGCGCAGTGGAATAGTTTCCTTAACTGAAAACTGTCTTTTGGTCTTTCTGGATGACAGTGTTTATGGCCTTAGAACTTCTTCAAAAACCAGGGCTAATTTATATATATATTTTTCTATCCACTCTGCTTCTTACATTGTTGAGAACAGGGCTTCTATTTTTGACATTTGTTGAATACCTACTACAACTAGGCCTTAATGTCCTAGGTGTTTGCACACCATTTTGTGAGTTTAACCAAAGTGAAACCTTCTGATCGATAGTGGGAAACTTTTCAGGAAATGTGGCTTTTCCATTCTTGATTCCTTTATAGTAGTGTTCAGTAGAAGTGATTTGACTAGAGTTTGATTCCCAGCCACTTGTTGGCTTCCTTCATGTATTAGATGTTTTTGAAAAGCTGTAGTTTAGAAAATACCCCTTTTCTTTCTCCCAGGTCTTGACCTATAAAATGGGAGAGGAGGGGATGTGAGGTTCTTACATTTGGGGTTGTGGGACTACCTATGTGTGTGGCTCTTGTTCTGCTGTAAAGATAAGGCTTTTCTTGGTCTGCCTTTTCTTTGTTGACTAGCTGGTGTTCTTACAAACTAGAGTGACAGGAAGAATGGTATTTCACCATGTTGAAATTACTGGGTAGGAGTAACACTTTCTGAAGAGAAAAGGTTTCAGGTTTACTGAATGTTTGAAATTGATTTTGTTAAATTATGGAGAATGCTTAAGCAGAATCTTTGTGGGGGTTTTTTTGTTATTGATTGTAAATCCCATATTCATATTCAGGGTTATTTTAGTCTTTATTTCGGCTACTCCTGAGATAGTGAAAGGTTTCTTAAATAAGTTAAATACTTTACCCTTGCCAGGGGCTTAAGTAAATCTCAGCTAGTATGAGCATTCATATCTGCTTGACCTGAAGTAGACCAGCTTTTATAGTGTGTTTTTTCATTCTTAGCATCTAGTCATTGCTCCTAAGTGGCCATCCTAGAGGTTTTCCAATGACCTGCTAACATTGAAAAATATTTCTTCTTCCCAGTGCTCTTCACTCAGATCCACCAATCTTTGCTACATCTGCTTTATCTTTATCCATATACTGAACATTAGCTGCAGATTTTGCATGCAGTTTTAAAGTTCTTGGCACCAGTACTTGTAGTAGGTTAGCATGTTGGGCCTTTATCAAAGATAAGTGTACGTTTGAAAGGGGGGAAATTTCCCTAGCAACAAACATACCATGTTAAGGTCCTATCTCATGTTTATCAACCAGTTCACGATTTAAGTACCAAGAGTACTTAATGTGCCCAATTATGTGCCTAAATTAATAGATCTTATTCAGGGTCATGTCATGACAGACAAGTTCTTGATGGGGAAGCCATGGAGATGGCGACAAAGGAGCCTGACACTTGGAGCTTAGATAATTGGTTGATGATAGGGCGTGAGGCCCTCTCCCATCTTTAAAATGGATTTTTGGAAGAAAGTTAGATTTCATTTAATTTTTGAGGTTATACAATATGGGCATCTGTCATGTTTCAGTAAAGAATTGGGTTATTGTATTTAAACTTGACTTGGTAGAGCTGGTTAAGTTGTATTTTGAAAAGAAATTACTCCTGAATCCATGCTGGAGTCATTATAGCAACTATTTGTGTGATGACTGTCAGATATTGTGCGCTAGGTTTTCGGGTTGTAAAAATAACTCATGCTCTAATAGACATCAGTAGATAATTTCAAAGAGATATATAGGGTATTCTGGGGCACAGTGGACAGTCTTCCATGAAGGGGTCAGGAAAGATTCTTAGGATGCAGTGCAGTGACATTTTAAGCCACCAGACATAGCTCATCAGGCCATTTTTTATCTCCCCATTTTACTGTTTTAACAGTGGTTGGTATGACAGGGACGGACCTATGGAGATGCCCAGCATTCCAGCAGCTCAGTCAAGTCTGAATTTTTTTTTTCTTAATTTTTTTTATGTTCACCTGCAGTTCCGTGCAATCAAGTCTAGTTTTTGTTTTAGCTGCTTCCCTCTAGTGTTGGGGAAGGGAAGTTAGGATGCATAAATTCTCATGTTATGTCCCTTGAGGTAAGGGAGTAAGAATGTTCAGTTCTTTATAAATATAATCTGTTGCAGGATATGTGATCCTGATCAGCTTTGCTAAAGAAAATGAATTTCTCAAACCTCAAAATGAAGAAAATTTCTAAGATAGCTGTCAAGAGGATAAAGTTAAATAAGAGGCAATGTGAAAGAATATGGGCTCTGGAGTCCCACTGTCTTGGCTCTCCTACTTTGTAGCCTTGGGGAAGGTACTTAAATGTCCATCAGTCTCATATACACAATGGGTTTCCTCCCTGCTTTAGTGTTACTGTGAGGTTTAACTGTGTAAAGTGTACTAGGCTGCCTGGCTTAGTATTCAGTAAATGTTCCTTTTCTAGTATCATTATTCCCTCTTCCCCACCAATAGTACATTATGGACTTACACATATTTTAAAATGTACACTTCCTTCCTTGAATTGTGATGAATTTACCAGTAGGATTGTAGTGTTTAAAAGAGAAAATTTAGCTGTTAAGAAGCTGTATGTTATATGTAGGTCAAACACTGAATTTTAGCCTGTCTTCTGTGGAAGTCACTGCAGCATGTTTCTTGTTCTGGCTTTGGCATTTGGAGAGTTGACACTTTCTGGAATATGTAAATATGAAAAAGTAATAGGATATGTAAAACATTTCTCCCCTGCGTTTAGTAGTGTAGCATTTTTAGGCAAGGCTCTAAGTATCTATGGGCTTTAGTTCCTTCATTTGTTGGATCAACAGTCTTGACTAGATGGTGTCCAGTGTTTACTATAGCTAATATTTCAGAATCTGAACCAAAATATTAACTTTTTCCTTGTACTTTTTATTATACGTATATAGTCCATCTAGTTAAATGGAATTTGTTTTTTCCTGAGAGCAAGGAGGTGGTAGAAAGACACTGAACAGTAAAGGAAACTTCTTTTGCTTCAGATGCTGCTAGTATTCTATTAGACCACATTGGAGTTTTATTTTCATGAATTAGAAAAATAATATGCTTGTTTTTAGAACATTTGAAAAAATTGAAAGCATAGGTATGAAAGATAGGTATAAGAATTATCTATAATCTCTTTAATTTAGGGGTAATCAGTATTAAAGGTTTTTTGCTTTTCTTTCTTTCTTTTTTTTTTTTTTGAGACAGAGTCTTACTCTGTTGCCCAGGCTAGAGTGCCATAGTGTCAGCCTACCTCACAGCAACCTCAGACTCCTGGCTGGGCTCAAGCAATCCTTTTGCCTCAGCCTCCTGAGTAGCTGGGACTACAGGCATGCACCACCATACCCAGCTAATTTTCTTATATTTATATATTTTTAGTTGTCCAGCAAATTTCTTTCTATTTTTTTTAGTAGAAATGGGGTCCCACTCTTGCTCAGGCTGGTCTCAAACTCCTGAGCTCCAACAGGGCTCAGCACTCCCAGAGTGCTAGGATTATAGGCGTGAGCCACCACACCTGGCTGGTTTTTTGCTTTTCAATTGAAGATTGTTTATTGCAAAGTAATAATTTTGGAGCTTAGATATTAGTCACTAAATATTAAAGTAATTTTGGGGAAAATATATTTTAGAGTCTAGTATGTGTGTGAAAAATTGTGATTTAGTACGTGGGTGAGTTAACAACTGTTTAAAAATGTAAATGACCAATTGAAAGCCATTACAGCTTGGAAGTATAAAAGAGTATATAAGCAGCATGAATGCACTTAAATCCTTGTGGAGGACTCTACCTCTCTGGCATGGATTGGGTTGCGAGACATTGCTAATTAGTCAGTTGTAGCTAGTGACTAGCACTCATACTTTTACCCTTGAACCAAGCAAATCCCATTATAATGTAAGTACACTGGCACTTCAGAATTGGTTTTTTTTTTTTTTTTTTTTATTGTTTTGGGACAGTTCTGATGTTGATACCACTGGTTAGACTCCTGGATAAATTATGACCTTCATATTCTTACTTGGTCATTCATCCAACTTAATAAGCTACCTTTAGAAAACCAGGTCATACTGTTTGGTATTGATTTTTTAAAATCCATTTTAAAAGAACATGTTATCATTTTTGTTATTTTCAAGTAAAAACTATTTCGTGTTATGAAGGTGTGATATTGCTACTTGTACAAAAATTCAAATGAATAATAAAAAGCATATCATAGCAAACAGTGTTTACTATGTGCCAGGCACTGTTCTAATAGTATATCATTTAATCTTCATAAAATGAGGTTGTTAGCTCCATTTTACATAGGAAGAAACTGAGGCATAGAGAAGCTAAGTGTCATACTCAGTCTCCTGGCTAGTAAATGGCAGAGCCTGGATTTGAACCAGGCATTCGGGCTTTAGGATCTGCTCCTAACTGCTTGCTACATGAAAGAAATAAAGTCATGCATTCTTGTACCCAAAACTATTCCTTGTAACATTAAAAAAATTGTTATAGATGTCTTTCTATTTATATTAGGTACATAGGAATATTGTTTCAGTAAGTTGTTGGTTTATGACATGAATATTACTTCCATATCAGCATAGGCTTAACATCATTTTAAATGGCTGCATAGAATTCTATTATGTTGTTAGTCAAAAGGAACACTGAGGATGGCTTGGCCATGTGTTCTCCAGCCTTTTTTTCTCTCATATACAGTCTTCAGTAAAACCTTGCTATAAATGCAGGTCAAACATAAATCTGTTACCCTTTCCTCTTTCTAATTGTCACCCTATCCTGTAAATTCTGAATCACCTCTGGTAGGTGGTTAATTCATATGATACTGCCATTATTTTTGAAAAATTGTTAAAGTATCTTTAAAGAAGACCGTCAAACTGGTCAAGAACTTTAATCAGGACGTGTCTTTTTTTAAATAGAAATGGACATGAGGCATCCTTAAATGTACTTTAGCAGAAGCCAAGAGAGGCTGTGATGTTCCCAAGGTCACACAGTTAAGAGAGTCATCTGGGGTCATCTGTACATTTTTATGGCCATGATTGTGGGTCAGAAGAGGAGAAAATGTCTAAAGGAGTGGAAGGACCAGGAACAGAGATTTGGAGACCAGCTATGTTTTTAAATAGGGGTGGGAAAAGGTAGACAGGTGAAAGAGATTTAGAAGCTGAAGACCTAGGAAAACCCCCCATGGTCGTGAAAAATAATTCTGGGAAAGTTTGGTAATCTCTGCTAGGTGTATCTGCAAGTTCAAAGAGTTGTAAAAAGGACATTTGATTTAGCAGTTACTATACTGAAAATCCTTGCTGTGAAGCCAGCAGTAGAGAGGAAAGGTAAAATGTACTTGGTAATTTAGGACTTAAAAGTTTACATAAAACGGTAATAAGTAATTCAGCAAAGAGAAATAATGAGAGATATCTTGGAGAAATAGATTTGACTCAAATACATTTAAGAATAAAAAAATAAAAACTGGCATTGAATACACACTATAAGCAGTCTTAAGATGGTGTGTTACCACTGCATATCTTTTGCATTTATAATAACTGGTAAGCCAAAGACTGAATTCTTAGATTTTCTAATTTTTTTTAAACAAGTGACAGATACATGTTTGATGTTAGGGGCTAGTTCTATATATTCTCTGTGCCAGACAGTAGAGACTGGCAACTAATGAAATCTGTATCACTTATGTAAAAACTGGACACAGACTTGTTTTCTGTTGGATTGTGAATTCTAATTTGAGAGCATTTTCTTACATGTGCTAAAGGATTTGCAAATAAAATTATACAACTTTTCAGAAACCGCCTATTTGCTTGCTAAAAATATGCTTACAATAAATGCCTGTTTATACACTTAGCTCCAAAATACGTCTTGTAATTGTGCTTTTAATCCTTCAGGTCACTCTTTTCTCTGCATTTCAGGGTTCATCAACCTCTCTTCCTTCCCTAGCCAGTAGCTAGGGTCCTGCTTTTAATTGGGGCTGCTATAAATAATCATACAGGCTGTCACACAGGCATGCCAGTATTTTAAATATTTCTAAATTTTCTTGAGTCATAGTATGAGGTGGTTTGCAAAAAAGGAAGGAGAGACTATCAGACTTAGTGGTTTTCTTCACCTTTTTAAGCAAAGAAATCCTTTTTTCACATGAAATCAAGTATAAGTCCCAATGTATAAGATAAGTAAAATTCTCTATTTCTCTGCCCCTACCCGACCCCCCCCCCTTTTTCCCCAAGAAGTGAGGCATTTTGGCCAGCGAGGTGGCTCACGCCTGTAATCCTAGCACTCTGGGAGGCCCAGGCGGGTGGATTGCTTGAGGTCAGCAGTTCAAAACCAGCCTGAGCAAGAGTGAGACCCTGCCTCTACTATAAATAAAAAGGAATGAATTGGCCAACTAAAAATATATAGAAAAAATTAGCCGGGCATGGTGGCGCATGCCTGTAGTCCCAGCTACTCGGGAGGTTGAGGCAGGAGGATCGCTTGAGCCCAGGAGTTTGAGGTTGCTGTGAGCTAGGCTGATGCCATGGCACTCAATCTAGCCTGGGCAACAAAGCATGACTCTGTCTCAAAAAAAAAAGGTGAGGCATTTAGGTTTCTAAGAAGTTAAGTAACTTCTGCTGGGTCACACACATAAGCATTAAGGATTAAGGATTTGGACTGACAGTTTCCTTGGTGAATCTTTAATTGAATTAACTTGTTTGCTTGTCCTATAGCGAAAAGGAAGAAGAAGATAATGAAAAGAGAGAAGATCCAGGTGATAACTGGGAAGAAGGTGGAGGAGGAGGTGGTGGTATAGAAAAGTCTTCAGGTCCCTGGAATAAAACAGCCCCGGTACAAGCACCTCCTGCTCCAGTAATTGGTAATCTTGCTATTTCAGTTTCAGAAAGATGTCTAATTCATGTATAATTTTAATGTGTGGTCATCTTTCAACTATAAAGACTTTCAAATCCTAAATAAAAGGAATCTGGAAGTTAATAGACATACTTTTGTTCTGTATGGTGCTAAAATTTATGGGATAAATTTATAGATAGACTAGTCAATTAAGTATAAAATTTATAAACTAGTTAAATATTTAAGCATTTATTCCAGTTTTCCTCCCTAAATATTAACTCCTGGCTAGTGGGGAAATAGGTAAGGAAAAGACTTTCATTTACTAGAATTCAAGGTAAGCCTCATTCAGGATATTTAGTAGTGGGTTTAATTCCAAACGTTTTCATAGGAGAGGCAGTTCCCTAAAGCTTTTTGACAGCTGAGTAAGGAATATTGGACCCCCTTGTGTTTCACTTATGCTTGTCTTTTTTCCCCATTCCTTATTTTGTTCCTACATCTTGAAGCATGAATTCTCAGCAGGGCTGATGTTATCCTTCTCAAGGGTGAAAGAAAGTTGGTGGTTCTTTGGAGGTGAAGAAATCTTAGATCTCAACAGTAGCTTGTGGCACACCAAAGAAGCAAAGTACATAAACAGATGTATATCTGTGGTTTTAAAATTTCATAGAGTTGAAATTTAGGGAAAAGATGTCTCAAAGGGCTCCTTAGAAGATAATAATGAAAAAGAAAGCTTGAAAAGCCACAGCTTTAAAATAGTTATATACCTCTTATTTTATTGAATAATATAAAGACAGATCATCCCAAATCTTGCTATCCAGAGATCATAGATTACTACTACATGTTAACATTTTTGCATCCATTCTAGCTTTTTGCTAGGTATATATATTTGTTTAACTTTTTAACTGTTCTGTCAGTGGTCCCTAATAACCCCTCTACATTGCTAAATCCAACCCCCAAGTCTCAGTCCTCATCTGACTTGACCTATCAGCAACATTTGGCACAGTTAATCACCCCCTCAAAACACATTCTTCTCGGCTTCCAGGACACCACATTCATTGTCTTCCTTTGTTGGTTGTTTCCTAGTCTTTGCTGGTATCTCCTCTGCCTCTAAATGCTGGTCTGCTCCTGGGCTCAGTCTTAGCTTCTCTGCTGTCTGTTCTCACTCCCTTGGCAGTCTCTTTTATATGCCAATGACTCTTGTGTTTCCATCTTCAGCTTGGATCTCTTATCTTAATTGTCTACCCAGCATCTTAAACTCATCATGTCTAAAGTTGAACTAATTTTCACCCTTCACAAATCTGTTCCACCCTACAGCCTTTCTCATCTCCGTGTTATTGTTTCAGTCACTTAGACCACAGTTTTGGAGTCATCTTGACACGTTTCTCTTGCTCCACACCTAAATCAAATCCGTTAGTAGATTCTTTCTGCTTTTATTTGCACAATAAATTCAGTCTGTCTTGACTATTTTTCACCAAGTCTACTGCTACCACCCTGGTTTGAACTATCATTATTTCTTGTGGATTATGGAGGTAGCCTCTTACCTGGTCTGCCTGCTTCTACCCTCATCGCATCATCCCACCCACACATATGCTCTGTTCCCAGCATAGCAGCTAGAGTTGGTGATCCTTTTAAAATGTGTCAGAGCATGTCATTGTGCTGGTCACATACTCTAGTGTCTACCCTTGTAGTTCATAATAAAAGCTAAAGTTCTCAGTGATTTAGAAGACCTTGCACATTTGCCTTGTGATTCCCCCCCCCCTTTTTTTCTTTTTTGAGACAAGAGTCTCACTCTGTCACCCTGGGTGGAGTGCAGTGGTATCATCGTAGCTCACTACAATCTAAAACTCCTGGGCTCAAGCAATCCTACTGCCTCAGCTTCCTGAGTAGCTAGGACTATAGGCACACACCATATTCAGCTAATTTCTTTCTTTCTTTTTTTTTTCTGAGACAGAATCTCAGTCTGTTACCCAGGCTAGAGTGCTGTGGCATTAGCCTAGCTCATAGCAACCTCAAACTCCTGGGCTCAAGCAATCCTGCTGCCTCAGCCTCCCAAGTAGCTGAGACTACAGGCATGCATCACCACACCTGGCTAATTTTTTGTATATATTTTTAATTGGCCAATTAATTTCTTTCTTTCTTTCTTTTTTTTTTTTTTTTTAGAGAGGGGGTCTCACTCTTGCTCAGGCTGGTTTCGAACTCCTGACCTTAAACTATCTCCCCGCCTCAACCTCCCAGAGTGCTAGGCTTTCAGGGGTGAGCCACCTCACCCAGCCAGTTCTCCCTTTTTCTGACTTTATTGTTAACTTGATCCTCACTCACGCTGCTTCTTGAACATACAAGGCACACTGCTACTGCATGCTCTTAATGCTGATGTCTTCAGCCTGGAATCCTCTGCTTTATGTAATATCAGGTATCTGCAGACTTGCTATTAAGGGCCAGATAGAAAATAATTTAGGCTTTGAGGGCCATGCAGTCTCTGTTATAATTGCTCAGCTCTGCTGTTGTAGCATAAAAGCAGCTATATATGATACACCAGTGAGCATATCTATGTTCCATTAAAACTTTATTTATAAAATCAATTGTTGGGCCAGATTCAGTTTGTTTGCCAACTCTAGCTTTCTGTTTTCCTGTCTTTGCTCAATTTTTACCTCATCACTGAGACCTTACCACTTATTTAAAATAACAGCCTACACCCTATCCATTTTGTACTCTCTTTACAAACTCTTCCCTACTTTAATTTTTGCTGCTATAGCTCCTCTCTGTTTTTACTTATTTTGTTTCCTCTCTCTGGAATACCACTGTCTAGTAGAACTTTCTGTGATGATGGAAGAGCACTGCCTGGTACAGTAACCACTAGCCAGCCACATGTGGTAATTGAGTACTTAAAATGTAGCTACTGTGATCAAGAAACTAAATTTTAAATTTTATTTCATCCTACTCATTTTAAATAAAGGTATGGCTAGTGGCTAGAATACAAGATTCATGAAGACAGGGGTTTCTGTTTTGTTAATTATATCCACAGTATGTAGTTCAGGTGCTGAGTAAATAATGAATGCACATATAAGCTTTCCCTCATATAATCAAAAACTATACAAAAACAGTGTTGAAGTGGCTGTCTTATTTCAGTTGGCAAATGTTTAAATAGATGTTTATTTGAAATGACATTTGATAAGTGGAAAACATGTATATAACACTATTTGAATCTATATTGAGGACAGAAAAAAGAAAGATAGGAAAAAACTGGAAGGGGAGCTGTGTGTCCAAAATATTAGCCACGAGGGAAGACTTTGGGCTGCTGAGCTGCTTCATTTTTTTTTCCTGTTTTATCCATATTTTCTAAGTAAATAGTCGTAAAATCCACCAATGATGTAGAAGACAGTGAAATAAGTTATTATTATTATATAGAAGACAGTGAAATTAGTTATTTTTAATTTTTTTAATCTTTAGAATATTTAAATAAAGGTAGGCACAGTGGCTCATGCAAGTAATCCCAGCATTTTGGAAGGCTGAGTCAGGAGCATAGCTTGAGGCCAGGAGTTTGAGACCAGCCTGGGCAACCTAGTGAGACTCCATCTCTACAAAAAATAAATTGGTCAAGTACAGTGGCACACACTTGTACTTATGTAGCTACTTAGGATGCCAAGACAGGAGGATCAGCTTGAGCCCAGAGTTTGAGGCTGTAGTGAGCTATGATCTTGCAACTGCACTCCAGCCTGGGTGATAACAAGACCTTATCTCTAAAAAAAAGAAAAATTTTAACTACTTTTATTAAACGAGTTCTTTACACATGGCATCTTATTTAACCAGCCAGATAAAGAAGTCATTATCATTATCCATATTTACCGGTAAGTAAACTGAGGACTAACGTGGTCACATTCTGAAAGGCAGCCCCTGATGAGCCGTGTTGTTCAGTTCCAACAGATTCTTTCCCACTTCTAATAGCGAGGCTTACAGTACTCATTCACATAGATTATTAACAATGTTCATGGAGGAGGGGTTAGAACACTATCTTAGGAAAATAGAATGTTTCTACTTTGGGACATTATCTCTAAAAACTTTCCTTTTGTTATTTGACCCAGAGACCCTTCTTACATCAGGTATTGGCTTTTTCTGTAATTGCTAGATGATCAAGAATGCAGGAATAGCTTATTTTAAATGCCCAGCATTTGAATAGTTTGTCTAAACTGTTATAAAATATTAGTTACAGAAACCCCAGAACCAGCAATGACTAGTGGTGTGTATAGGCCTCCTGGGGCCAGGTTAACCACAACAAGAAAAACACCACAAGGACCACCAGAAATATACAGCGATACACAGTTCCCATCCCTTCAGTCAACTGCCAAGCATGTAGAAAGCCGGAAGTAAGTACTATGATTGCATTTTATTTGGGACCTCTATTCATTGGCCAAGGTGTGGGCAAAAGGGCTATAAAATCTTACCTGGGGGGGAGGATTACTCCTAATTGGCAAAGCCCAGGCTGCAGCTGACAGGCAGCTGAGAACTAGCATGGGACTTAATATGTGCCCTGGAGGGAGGAGAGAGGCATTAATAAAAGCCCTGGAATGAGTGAGGGGAGCGAGCACTGCAGACTTAGTCTGCTGTGTGCAAAAGTTTCTCCTATCCCCAGTTCATGTTTTATAGCAATGACAAGTCTTATTTAGTTAAAATTCTTTGCAAGTACTTTAGTAGTGGCTGCTGCTCCTTAAAATACAGAAACTAGAAATGTAAAAGTGGTATTTCATTGTATTCCCAGTTATTGTGAACAGATGAAAGATGTTGGCATTTATAAATCTAATATTAAAATAATCTTATTTCAGCAGGTACTTAAAATGAATGCTACCTGGAGTTAAATGACCACATATGGCACATCTACATCTTATTTAGGGACATGAATTTTAAAAAGTAAATAAAATGGGAAGAAATGTAAATGACATCAGATGGAAATGTTTTTTTGGGGTGGCTTTTAGAGTTAATTTCAGTCTTTTCGCCACTTTGAGAGCACAGCTGGCTTGAATTTAAACCTCCACTTGGACTTACTCCTCTGGTCTGTCCTACAAAATGTGTAAGGGACCTACGTCTGGGAGGGGAGTTGACTCACCACACTCATCTTTCTTTACCTGATCTAATCAGGTCCACTCCCATAAAATAGAAGTGAGGAGAAATTACTGAATAATGAGTAGAGCTTACTTGAATGAGAAAATTGTTACCATTACTTATTCATAAAGAAAGAGATGTATTATCTATTTGCTAAAAGTAAAAAGTGAGTCTTAGGAAGAATGCCATTACACACTTTTTAACTGAACAATTGTCTTCATTAAAAACTGTTCAGTAGAAAATAGGACCATGGAACTTCAGTACAATGTCTTGTGTTTTCTGTTCAATTGAAGCCTTAAAAATGGTTTGGTAAGGATTTTATATACCAGTTCTCCCCTCTTGTCCCTCCCCAAGATTCTTCCAAGTGGTGGCTTTTTTTTTTTAATTCAAGGAAGAATATTTTCAAAAACCCTAGTGAAGAAGAAATATTTACTGATTACATTTCTTTTCCCTTAGGGATAAAGAAATGGAGAAGAGCTTTGAAGTAGTAAGACACAAAAATAGAGGTAGGGATGAGGTTTCAAAAAACCAGGCACTTAAACTTCAGCTAGACAACCAGTATGCTGCACTTGAAAATCAGAAAAGCAGCCACACACAGTACAATTAAGGAATGGTCTTTGCTAACCCTTCTAAGGTATCTAGACCACAGCTAACCACCATGAACAGCCATTCATCATCTGATCTCTGCTGGATCTACAGCAACTGATGCAGACCACTTGATTTAAGGGACCGGCCCTATTGCACTATGGAAGTTTAAAGTGTCACAGCTGCTCTTTATGTATATTGGATTTAGAGGAATTTTCATTGTTATATAAATGTGCGAACTAGATTCCACAGTGTTCTTTCATAATTACTCTGCAAATACAAAAAACCAAAACCTGCAGCCAGTGGTCATTTCAAAATCTTTTTATGTTCAGATACTGAGCCTTCGTAAGGGTTGACTACCTCAGATTTGCTGCACTCATTGTGGACTTCATGTGGATCACAACTTCTGGATAAGAAGGTTACAGCTATTAATTGTCGACGTGAACCTTGAAACCAGCTCTACTGGATTCCTGTCAGAAATCCTGCAGAAAGTCAGCCATCTGGGTTCTGATCTGCTGTAAAAGATGAAGATTTAAGTGACCTTAATTAACCTGTCCCGTGCCCCACCCTTAAGGAATACTCTCTAGTAGGCTGTGGCTATATTAGACTTCCTGGAACACGCTTATCTCAAGAGAACTGATGTGTTCAGATCATCTGTGTAGGGCTGTGATTTGTAATTTAAACTTTTAGTTGTGTTCTGAGGTAACCACAAATTAAATTCAACCAAACTTGGGTCCTCCAAGTGGCAAAGGGGATGGGGGAGAGAATAATCTTGTTTCTCTTAGTAATTTTTTATTTGGATAATGCTTTTTTTCTTTGTTCCACATTAAGGCCTTTTTTGCTTTGACTTGAAATAAGTTCTTCGACAGAGCATATTGCTTGGTTAAGTAACCTGAAGTATGCATTAGAATTGTGAAATGTCTTGTGAATTTGCCAATCCCGAGAGTAGAACCAAATAGCCTTTGATGTAAAGGGCAGTGGATGCCAGAGGCTCTACTTCAGGTGCTGCTAAAGCCTCCTCTAATCAGGTCTAAGATGTGTAGTAAACTGCAGTGGAAAGAGTGGTTTCTGCTCAGGCTAAGGGATTCACTGAATTGTCCTTACAAATTCAAAGCAATGTAAGCAAAAAACCTCAGCTAAAACCCATAAAAGGTAAAGGGATCATGCATGATCTTTAGGAATTCCATATATACTTGTGCCCAAATTTAAGGGATTAGAAGTTCTGTATATGCAACGATTGTCCTAGCTAGCTCTTTTATCAACCTTTTGGTGTGTCTTTATGTTGTTCATTTGGAGTCAGGGTAAAAGACAGGTGGCAGTTTCTTAGTTCTCTCTTGGTTCAACAGAAATATTTCAGAGTGGTATGTAACCACTTGATGGAGTCTGGGTTTCTCTATAATAAATCCCTTTGCCAAATGCAGGAGTTGCAGACTTGCTACTGGCAAGAGTCAAGCAAATGGGCAAGTGAAACTATCCTGATGTGGGGCTATTTTCCTGTAGCAAGTTCCATCTTGATGGACGTGTCAGTGCAGGAATTGACTTCTAGGAGGTTACAGTATCTCCTGACAGGACCTGCCAGCCACATTTTTGCAATAATGTTGGCATTATTGGAGGTGGTGGGCAGGATGCCTTCTGATGTATTTGGGTGGAAGTAACTGAGCCAGCCAATGGGAGGTTGGATGATTAAACAAGAAACGGGATTCTTGGTTAAACTGAAGACTTCATTTGGGAACCAAAACCTTAGTAAATAATCTCTTGGACCATGAGCCACATGTTTTCCCTGAAAAGTATGCCTTTTTTTCCAGCAAAATTTTGTTGGGGTTATGTTACCGAGGAACGAACTAAGGTGAATATATGGAGGTGTTTAATAGCATACTGTACTAGAAATCTGAAGACCTGCAGCAAGCAGATTTAAATTCCAACACTTGTTACAACTTTTTAAAAGATTGTGAAAATATCAAAATGTACATGAATCAAGTTTTAATATACTGTATGATGGGTGGATGAGGCTGTCCATTGTACCATTTCTTTCTTTGAATTCTCAGGCATGGTTTGGCAGTGCAAGAACTCTGTAACATTAACAAATTCAATAAAAAGTAAATATATGGATTTTGGAGTTTAATGGTTTTTATTAAATCTTATCTTTGTACATGATGAGTTGATGTCATGCCTCTTTTACTGTGGGAAGATGATGATGCTCTCAACTCAGGAATGTTCTTTGTGTTTAAGATGTGTGTAGGGCACTTGGAATGTTGGGAAACGTGGCTGCAAACTGTGATAAACACTCTTCATCTTTAAAAAATTATTGAAATATACTTTTGTTCTGGTTGCTATATTAAATTTTACTACCTTAAACTATGGCAAGGCAATCTAAGATTTTTATTCTGTAGACCAGATTTGGGGCTTTGTCCCTTGAGAAACTTCACATTTCCCAAAAGAGCAGTAATTTTAAATTTAAGGATTTAGTTTGGATTATAGTCGCTTCATTTCTAAACTAGTGAAAGTATAATTCAAGTCACTTTTGGTAATGGAGTTTAAATGTTTAATGTTCACAATTTACTATTTGAATATTCTTTGTGCTTGAAGTTTTTTGTTTTTGTTAGAATTATTTATAGTAGAACATACACATATAGAAATTTATACTCCCTATCTTCCCTCATTTAATTTCTTCCATAGTTTTTTTAAACCTTTCTTTTAAATAAAAATCACCTTTTTAGAGTGTACAGTGTAAGTAGTTTTTAATAAGTCTCCAAAGTTACACAGCCATCACCACTCTTGATTCCTGAACATTTTCATAACTTCAAAAAGAAATGCTGTGCCCTAGATCCTTTGCAATAAATTTAAAAAAAAGAAAAAAAAACAATCCGAACCTATTAGTCATCTTTTTATCCCCTACTCCCCCACACACATTCTCAGCCTTAAGCCACCAGTATTATATATTACTCTGGAAATTCATTTAAACAGGGTCTTCTATGACTGGCAAATTCCCTTAGCATGTATTTGAGGCTCGTCCATGTTGTGGCCTATATCAATACTTCATTCCTTTTATTGCTAAACAGTAGTTGTCAGGGAGGGAGAGCTAGCAAAAAAAAGAGTCAGATGTGCTGTCTTTATACATGCATCAGTTGGACATTGGTTTTTTTCAGTTTGTCATGGATAATGTTGCTGTGAATTATCATGTACAAGTTTTTGTGTCCACAGGTTTTCAGTTCTCTAGCCATGTACGTAGGGGTGAAATTGCTGAGTCATATGGTAACTTTTGAGGAACTGCCAAACTTTGAAAGTGTTTTCACCACATATTTCCCACTGGCAATGACTGAAGATTCTAGTTTCTCTTGTTTCAGACTCTTTGATTGTAGTTTCCTAGTGTGTATGAAGTAACATCTTATTGTGGCTTTGGTTTGTATTTTTTCATGGGCTTAGTGGTCATTTGTATATCTGGGAAATGTCTATCGCAAATCTTCTGTCAAGTTTTAAATTGTTTTACTATTGAATGTGAGTTCTTTATTCTGTGTATTAGTCCCTTATCAGATGTAAATTGCAAATACTCTCCATTTTTTCCTTTTCTTAGTAGTGTCTTTTGAAGCACAAAATTGTCAATTTTGAGCAAGGCATTGTGGATTTTGCCTGTAATCCCACCTACTAGTGAGGCTGTAGAAAGGAGAATGGCTTGAGAACAGGAGTTCCAGACTAGCCTGGGCAATATGCAAGACCCTGTCTATAAAAATTGTTTTTTAATTTTTAAAACTTTAAAAATTAGCCATGTATAGTGCTGTGCATGTGTAGTCCCAGCTACTTGGGAGGCTGAGGCAGGAGGATTGCTTGAGCCCAGAAGTTCGAGGTATGGTGAGATATGATTGTGTCACTGCACTCCAGCCTGGATGACAAGACTGTGTTTTTTTTTTTTTAATTCAGTTTTGATGAATCCAATTTATTTTGCTTTAGTTGTTTGTCCTTTGAATGTCGTATCTAAGTAACATTGCCTAGCCCAAGATCACAAAGTACACTTATTTTCTTCTAAGTTTTATAGTTTTAGCTCTTTCATTTAGGTCTTTACTCCATTTTGAGTTAATTTTTGTATATGTGAGTTAGGGGTCCAACTTAATTCTGCATGTCGTATCTACTTGCCCAGAACCATTTGTTAGAAAAGACTCCTCTGTAGTAATTACTCTTTATTTGCACACTAACATTTTGCTTTTGTATCTCCCTCTATTAGAATGTGAAATTGGTTTGGGTAGAATAGGTGGAGATGTCAGGACGTTGGAGTGTGAGGTCAGAATTGAGAGGTCATACCATTATGTAGTGACTAAAAAAGGAACGCAGAGTTGGTCAGAATCTGTAAGGGTGAAAATAAATTAATAGGAATACTCAGGATCAGGGAGAGAACAAAGGAATAGGAGTTTTGTTTATTTTTTATAGGACAGAGTCTCGCTCTGTTGCCTGGGCTAGAGTGCAGTGGCATCAGCTCTCTGCAACCTCAAACTCCTGAGTCCAAGCGATCCTATTGCCTTAGCCTCCTGAATAGCTGGGATACAATTGTTTGCCACCACGCCTGGCTAATTTTTCTATTTTTTGTAGAGATGGGGTCTTGCTCTTGCTCAGGCTGATCTCAAACTCGGAGTTCAAGGGATCTTCCCACCTTGGCCTCCCAGAGTGGAAGGATTATAGGCATGAGCCACCATGCCTGGCCAGAATGAGAGAATCTTACGAACAGGTATCTAATATTAATTAGTTCTTAGACCGCATATTTGTAATGGTTTTTCATCAACATCTATTATAATAAGTGGTATTAATGGGCATGCAGAATGCAAGTAAATTACGAATTCTTGTCCTTGAAATAAAGATTATGAAAGATATATTTAAGAAATAATTGCTTTAAATAATCATATTTGTATTATCTAAAATAAGAGGAATTGTGTCCACATCAGGGATTTAGGATATTACATGAAAGTAATCATTAAGGTAGTTCAAACGTTTTGGAATTGCAGCCCAAGGGGAGCTGGAATTCTAAATAGTAATTGAATGTAGTAACACAGAAGATGGAACTTAAGTTGTCAGCTTTAAACAGTCTTTTCAATCCCTTAACTGAACTGTTCAGGGGTTCAAAGAATGCAGCAAGAAACCTGTGTAAAGATAAGATCCTTTGTCTTTAAATATGATGGAAAATAGTAAATATGAGGGAAACAGCATTCACACTGTCTTATTTGTGATTAGGAGACAGCTTTAGTATCAGGTGAGAAGTTGGTTAACAAGGAGTCAGTACTTTCTCACTAACAATGGCAGCAGCTATATAGCGGGAATGACTTAAATTTATTGCAGATAATGAGTGTGTGACATTCTATGTTTTGCATTGACATTTGAGGAAACATGGTTTTCTATGATCAATTTTTGTTTTTCTTCAGACTGGATAGCAATTTTTGACTTAAATATACTAAGTTAAAATCTTAGTACATTTTACCTTTTCTTGCCTTGCTATGACATCGTTGCTAGCAATAATTTTATGCACCATCTCTTTTTACCTTTTTTTCCCAGAGAACTCAAATTTCAATTTTATATTTTTTGGGGGAAGGCAAGATGTACAAAATAAAGTATTGATTGTTTTGAATGTCAGCATATGGAAATTTGAAATGTTGCCTAAGGACAGAGACTTTATGTCTCTTCCTTTTTAACTTCGGAGTTCAGATAGTATATCATTCTCTAAAAAATACTGCAGCTGAAGTTTTTTTTTTTTTTACCTCATATGTAAGTCTGAGGGTGGGATGGAGAGGGGAACTGATACCTTCCAAGATTAACCTTTACTTTTTAAAAATTATTGTACATGTGATTTTTTTTTTCCTGTTCATACATTTGTGCTGCCCAAGTACTCTTGACACTTTCATAAAATTGGGGGAAAAAAGAAGTGGGGCAACTCTATAAGATACATCCATGGTTCTTAAACTGCATTTTTGAAATAAATGTAGGGATCTTAAAAAAATACTGAGCCTGATTTCCAACCCCAGACATTCTGATGTAATTGGTATGGGGTGTGACCTGAGCAGAGGGATTTTTCTTGAAGTTCCACAGGTAATTTTAATGTACTACAGAATTTGGAAGCCACTGTGTTATGTCAGAATAAGAGAGAAATTACTTCCCTCATAGGGAGCTGGAAAACAACCACAGGGCTAGTTTATGTAGGAAATCCCTTACATTGCATTCTTACCCCAAAAGGATTACTACATTTCTAAATTTTTGGATACTGTTTTTTTTATTTGAGACAGAGTCTCACTCTGTTGTCCAGGCTAGAGTGCCGTGGCGTCAGCCTAGCTCACAGCAACCTCAATCTCTTGGGCTCAAGCAATCCTGCCGCAGCCTTCCAAGTAGCTGGGACTACAGGCACGCACCACCATGCCCGGTTAATTTTTTCTATATATGTAAAACCAATTAATTTCTTTCTATTTTTAGTAGAGACAGGGTCTCTCTCTTGCTCAGGCTGGTTTCGAACTTTTGAACCTGAGTGATCCACCCGCCTCAGCCTCCCAGAGTGCTAGGATTACAGGCGTGAGCCACCACGCCCGGCCGTAGATACTGTTAAGTGAGGGGAAATGGCTACTGAAGTGGGGAAAAGACCTGTAAACTTAAATACTAAATTCTTTTAGTATTTAAAAGAATAAATGTTGTTGGAGACAGGGTCTCACTTTGTTGCCCAGGCTAGCAAGCAGTGGCATCATCATAGCTCACTGCAACCTCCAACTCCTGGGCTCAAGAGATCCTCCTGCCTCAGCCTCCCAAGTAACTGAAACTGTAGGCTTGTGCCACCACACCCAGCTAATTTTTTCTATTTTTTGTAGAGATGGGGCCTTGCTCTTACTCAGGCTTGGTGTTGAACTAATTCCTAACCTCAAGTGATCCACCCGCCTCAACCTCCCAAAGTGCTAGGCATAAACCACCACACCTGGCCATATGTACACTTCTTATAGTTTTGTAATTGTCAGTATAAGGACCGTTTTTTATATTTCATCTTCATTTCTTAGAAAACCACCTCACCATTGATACAATTTCCATAGCCACTTGCTAACCTTCTCTAACAGTATTTTCATTCTGTTTGACTTGTCTCTTGACAGTAAATCTCTAACCATTCCAGAGTTTACTCACTGTTAATCTGCCCTACATTACTCCTGGCTACTTTTAATTTGCTCTTCCATTATGTTCTTAGTTACAACACCTGGATTTTAATGGTTTCTGTAGAATTCTTCAGTTCTCCCTAGTGACTATGAATTGAACCATGATTAATTAACTTTAGCAGAGATAACCTTGGGCAACTGCAGCATTCTACAGCTCATCTGCTTAGGAATTGGAACTTCAGATGCTTGGACTGCCTTGCACTCTTGGTCTGTGGTTCAGTTTGCTCACCAGTTCCTGTCTTTTAAAGTTCATGTGGGTTGCACTTAAGCATCCTTTTTAATGGGGTTTGGGCACCAACCGGAGTCTCTTAGATATTATCTTTGGTTTTAACTTGCTGAGACTATCGTGGCTTTATTCCTGGATTTCTCTGAGATTTACAGTTCAAATTTACGCCTTTAATTAGAATTTTAATTAAATCTGGAAGTCAGGGACTGTCAACCTCAGTGACACCATGGTAATGGGGGTGAAGAGCAGGTTGCAAGCTTCCATTATATTCCTTTGTTCTGCCCTGACATTCTCTCGTTTTTTAAACTTTAGCTCCAGCCTAGCAAGAGTGTTAAAACACTGGCATGTTTAAAAATTATTTATATATTATTTACATATTAACAGTTTTTAACCTTAGGCTAGGCACTGTTCTAAACAGGTAACAAATATCTCGTTTAACCCTGAAAATCCCTTAAAGACAGGAAAATCGGTTCTGAAAGGTGAAATAGCTTGCTTGAAGTCACAGCTAGTAACGAAGGAGCCAGGATTCCAACCCAGGTGTTTTGGCTACCGCATGTTCTTAACCATGAGGCTTTGCTTCCAGAACTCTTCTCCCTAGATTTAAGGCTAGAGGAGGAAAATGGGAAATGCTCCTTCGAATTTGACTTGAAAGTACCCTTTTTTACCCTGTCGCTTTCCCAGGTTATTGTGGATGCACTAGAGCCTCACTTCAGGCTCCCCCTCAAAGCAGCAGAAAATTCCTAATGTTGAGGTGAGTTGTACTACCCTTTTTTTCTTTTTTGATTGCTGGGGGTGGGATTTTATTTTTTGAAGACTGTTTTATGATGCCATTCTTCAAAAAGTCATAGTATAATAAATACCCTTGAGCCCCTAGCCCAGCTTCAACAATTATCAGTTTGTGGCTACTCTTATTTTACCTGTGAACACCCTCTCCATTTCCTGGATTATTTTAAAGCTAATCCCAGACCTATTTCATACACAAATATTACACCAATGGATAAAGACTTACCAACCAAAACACCATTATCATGCCTACGAAACATTTCTGTAATATCAAATATCCTGTTGATGTTAACATTTCTCTTATTTCTCATGGTGCTTTACAGTTGGTTTTTTAAAAAAGAATCCAGATAAAGATAACCCATTGCTTTCAGTTTTCTAAGTCTCCCTTAATTCTCCCACTTTATTCTTTTTTAACCATTTTAGTTATTGAAGAAACCTGCTCACTTGGCGTGTAGAGTTTTCCACACGGTATTGCCTTTCTACATTTCCTATAAATGGGTAGAGTGCCAGTTATAACGCTGGATTGAGCTGGAATTCATTGGTATGGGTGCCCTTAACTCGAGAGTCTGGATTTAAAGGATTAGCCCATTAAGGCTCTTAACAGCTTGCTTGGTTGGTTGACTGAAACTTGGACTCCGTGGTGGCCTATGTTTAATGAAGTTGTTGTGCCGGAGGGGGAGGAAGGATTAGGCTTAGGGAGATGGATTTATAACGCGCAACCTGCACATCCCAGTCTCCCAAACCACACCCTCTGAGGAGGTCCAGAAGACACCACTTAATTAAGACATCGAGAAGTCTGTTAGTGAGGGGAGTACCCACATCCTTGAAATCTCTGAGGCTGCTCTGCCCAGGGGAGGCACGACTGTGCCAGTGAGATGAGCTCCCTCGTCTCAGTGAGGACTGTGGGGTCTGAGTAGCAGAAGCCAAGTGCAACACTTACCTGGTTCCATTATCAACAGACTGCGTTGTCAATATACGGCGCTGTTGAGACAGTGGAGAGCTAGAGCAGGAGGAAGGGACTTCAGTGTGCTGTTGTCCATAGTGGCCGGAAGTGTTCTCTGTGTGGCCCTTGTGGTTCTGCAGCAGTCCACACCCTCCTGCAAGCTTCTCCCCACTACAGCACTGCTTCCCACCATCAGCTGGGGCCCAGAGCCCCTGGCACGTTTTCTTGCTACCTAGTGGCAGGAGTCTAGGCCAGTTGATGCCTCCAGCAAGTTTCTTCACCACTTCATTTTCTGAAGTGTGACTATCTTGGGGAGAGGTCCAAGATAGTCACACTTTTATACTCTTTTTATCCCCCTTTAGTAGCTTTTACTAAGTAACAGTTCTTTAAAGTTGCAAGTGTGGTTTTGTATCCTGACTCAGTGTTGACTGATTCTACATAGATCTGGAGGCTTGATCAAATGTGAGTCTAATTAGCAGGAGTAGGGACAAGAATACTTCATAGATGGTGTTCTCAGCTTCCTATCAAATCACACCAGAGCCACATAACTGGTTGTCTTGAGGAATCAATGAGTTACGTATTGTCAGCTTGATCCATCATTATAAAATTCCTTGTTTGCCTTTTTTTTTGAGACAGCAGTCTCGCTTTGTTGCCTAGGCTAAGTGAGTGCCAATGGTAATGCGCGTCAGCCCTAGCTCACAGCAACCTGAATCTCCTCGGCTCAAGCAATCCCCTTGCTGGACTCAGCCTCCCCAGCGTAGGCTGGACTACGGCCATGCGCCACCATGCCGGCTATTTATATATAGTAATATATAATGGTATACTATGGTACTAGTTATATATAATATATATATTAGTTGGCAATTAATTTCTTTCTAGTTATAGTAGAGACGGGGTCTCGCTCTTCGTTTGGTTGGCTGTCGAACTCCTGATCTCGAGCAATCCGCCCGCCTCGGCCTCCCAGAGAGCTAGGATTACAGGCGTGAGCCACCACGCCCGGCCATGCCTTTTATGTAATGTTTTTTGCAGTTACTGATGATCAGTGCCTAGATCTATGATCTCGTTAGGAGCTGTAAATGGTGTGCTTCTATCGTTTATTACCTGGAATTATTCTTTATAGAGAGCTTTTTCCATAACTATCAGATTATACTGAAATGTGTGCAGTTCATATTGATACAGCAGGATAATTGCTCGATTCTTTCGTTTATCAGTGTTTTTTGTTGTTAAGAGATGAGCAGTTGAGAGGCTCTGTTGCCCAGTCTGGAGTGCAGCGGCCACTACAGTAGCTCACCGCAGCCTCAAACTGAACTCCTAAGCTCAAGTAGCTGGGTCTACATGTTCGAGCCACCACACCCAGCTGCTTATCAGTTTTTATTGCTTTTTTAAATTAATTAATTTATTTTGAGACAGAGTCTCGCTTTGTTGCCAGGCTAGAGTGAGTGCCGTGGCGTCAGCCCAGCTCACAGCAACCTCAAAATCCTGGGCTCAAGCAATCCTACTGCCTCAGCCTACTGAGTAGCTGGAACTACAGGCATGCACCACCATGCCTGGCTATTTTTTCTATATATATGATGCCAATGAATTTCTTTCTTTTATCAGTAGAGACGGGGCGCTCTTGCTCAGGCTGGTTTCGAGAACTCCTGACCTCAAGCAATCCGCCTGCCTCGGCCTCCCAGAGTGCTAGGATTACAGGTGTGAGCCACTGCGCCCGGCTTATTGCTTTTTAAATTTTCTTTAACATACTTTTACGGCTTGAAAAGAGCTTCCAATAAATATCTGTACCATGGTTCCCCCCTTCCCATAAATACCTCACAAGTTTAAAACAGTTGATAGTTTTCATTGCAGATTCCCAAATGTTAAACTAGCATTAAGTGGCTCTGCCTAATGGCTAGTACTACTCATAGGGTGGTAGAAAAACAAAGAGCTGGGTGCCTTGCTTGTTGGCAGATCTAGATTTTAAAATATTTTTAGGAATATAGAGCAGGGGTCAGTCAACTATGGCCCAGTACCTATTTTTGTATGGCCTCAAGCTAAGAACGGTTTTTACATTTTTAAAAGGTTGGTGGGAAAATGTCACAAAGCTTAAAATGTTTATCATCTGTCCTTTTATAGAGAAAGTTTGCCAACCCCTGATATAAAGCAACCTGTGTATTAAAGCACCTCTTGTTGAGAGGTATATCTGTGAAATAATAGGTCTAGATGAGAACAGTGGGGTTTGTGACTTTTGGGTGGGAAGTCACAGACCTAAACTCTAGAATTATGAGCTTGACCCTAAAAATGCTTGCGTACAAAACTGTGCCTATGTCCATTCACAGGTATCCTGGGCCCCAGGCCAAAAACCTTTGCACTGTAATATTGTCATATTGGTCTGCTTGGGCTACTATAACAAAACACCAAGGCTGAGTGGCTTAAAGAACAGAAATTTATTTTGTCACAGTTCTGGGGATTGGAAATCCAAAATCAAGGAGCCAGCAGGATTGGTATCTGGTGAGGCTTTTCTTTCTGGCGTGTAGACAGTCACCTTCTCACTGTTCCTTACAGCACTTTCCTCTGGGCATGCGTACTCCTGGTGTCTCTTCCTCCTGTTGGATTAGGGCCCTGTTCTTATGACCTCCTGTAACCTTAATTACCTCCCTAAAGGCTCTCTCTGCAAATGGTCACGTTGGGGTCTAAGTTTTAACCTATTAATTTTGGGGAGACACAACCCAGTCCTTAACAATATAAACACTAAATCTAAGTATAATTGAGTACTGTATCTATGTTAAGAATTCCTGTCTCTTTAAGCTCTGAGAGATCAAGTGTTCTAGGCATTTGCTGCTGAATCCCAGGCACTATCTTACAGGCTTGGAGTCCTACTGAGTCAAAGAATGTTGGTGAAATTAGACTAATGCACAAGAGAATTCATGGAGGGATATGTGGTGCTAATTTAAGTATCACAGATTAAAATAGTGTAGCAATTCTAAGAAACTCAAAATCAGAATAATCAAAAGAACCACCCCCCACACATTTTAAAGGAGAGAATGACCTTTAATGCTTGCATTTATTAGCATGCAAGAGGATATTCTTGCTGGCATTAGGACATTTACAGACTATGAGCCAACACCAGAGTTGCAGTGGTTTTGTAGGGTGTGGGCAGGTAGATGCTGGAGAGTTGGGGAGGACACTGAGATCTGGAGCCCTGGAATTGTAAATTGTAATGCATTTACAATCATGCATCTGAGACCTGAACTGGAAAATAGTTCAGAATTTTGGCAGAAAAGAAAATGGTAGATAAGGTAATTTTATCTGGGATAGAGAGAAATACGATCATAAAATTGATCAATTCTCAAAGAATTTTAAGTGGTGAAATTTAGGGGAAACATTGCATAACTATGGACTGATTCAGCTAACATAAAACAGTTCTGATAAAACCAGGTAGTTTTTGTTTGGGGGAGGGGATAGAGGGCAGTGTGTACATGATAATGCTACCGATTTCTCCGTGTACAATTTGTATTGTCCTAAACTGTGAACTATCTCAAAACTGAAAACTTCCAAGTGCCAGTTCTCTTGAGGGGCTGGGACACCCTCTACTCTATTTTGAAGAACACCTGATAAAAACTTAAAAGGCTTCATGTCCAAGGTGAGGACTCTCTTTTTCACTGTTTTGAGTTTGCTTTTTTTTTTTTTTTTTTGAGACAGAGTCTCGCTTTGTTGCCAGGCTAGAGTGAGTGCCATGCGGTCAGCCTAGCTCACAGCAACCTCAAATCCTGGCTCAACAATCTCCTGCCTCAGCCTCCCAAGTAGCTGACTACAGGCATTCGCCACATGCCCGGCTAATTTTTTGTATATATATTAGTTGGCCAATTAATTTCTTTCTATTATAGTAGAGACGGGGTCTCACTCTTGCTCAGCTGGTTTCGAACTCCTGACCTCGAGCAATCCGCCCGCCTCGGCCTCCCAGAGAGCTAGGATTACAGGCGTGAGCCACCGCGCCCGGCCTTGAGTTTGCTTTCAAATAATCATTAGGAATTAAACAGTTTACATCAAAATTACAGTCCTAACAGATTCTGGTTTGTCCCTCAAAATGAGATGAGTTGCTTTGATACTTAGAAGATTATGGTAATACACATAGTATCTGGTGTTTAGGGTTACCATAATAAAGGCTAATACAACTAAAATGTTTTTTTTGCCCAATAAAAGTATTTTTTTTAACCTAACCTCTATAATTCTAAATAAATTATTCTAAATAAAAAATTTATCTGAACACATTTTAATGCTAATTTCAGTCACAACTTTTATTCTTTATTGTCATATTTTCCAAGTTTTGGCACCCAAACTTGGCAAACATCATGGAGATTTGTACAAACATACATATACATATATACATTACATGTTTAAGTTTAAAGCCCCAGCTTCCTCATTAAACCCTGTGCTCAGGCTCCTGTTAAAAAGAGGTAAAATGGGGAGAAGATAAAAATCGGGGAAAACATTAATCCCAATTGATAACGCTTATCATGAATTAAGGCTGACATTTTAAAGCAAAATCCATCACCTTGCTAAAACTTCCAAGCTACAGCCTCAGATATTTACAACCAAAAAAAGACAGAAAATATCCCCTTTTACACTTAATGGAGTTTAACAACAAGCTAGTTGTACTGTGTTGTTATTTCAGTAACTTTTTATTATTATTTCAGTGATTAAAATTTCAGGTATTCAGAACTCAAATGGGGGGGCATCATTATACTCTATTCTTCAGGTACTCATCTTTAAACTACTACAGAAATCCATCACAGTAACATTCAGGCTTTTTAAAAAATTTTAATGTTTAGTAACTAAAGAGTAGATATAATCAGTGTACCCTAGGTCGTTTGATCTTATTTTTCTCTGTAGGAGCTTTTCTCTTCTGTGATAATCCGGCCTCAGGTTCCTTATTATTCTGAAGAAATGCAACAGCTTCTGGTAGACAGTAATTTTCTACATGAGGAGGGGATTCCTATAAAAGGAAAAATGAACATTTTTTTTTTCACATTTCAAACTCTTAAATGATCTGGTAATAGATTCCTTTACTCTGCTTTTTGACAAACTTAAAGGAAAGTGCACATTCATTCCTAGGTTCTTACAAAGAAAACTTCTGTCTTTAGAGGTATGCTAATTAGCATTTGCATTTAGTGAATGAACCCTGTGGGACGAAGTCTCCCCGTTTATCAGAAAAATTAGTGTACAGCTCAGAGTGGGACCAGCTCAGATCTTAATGATTTCATTTGTAAAATAAAGATTAAATACAGAATATGGAGTGGGAAAATATAGTTAAAAACTATCATTTCAGTGTGAAATACTGTGCTTAGTGTAATTTTTAAAAATCTTTTTTACTTTTTACAATAAAGGTGATATGGGTGCTTTTAACACTCATTTTACAGCTAGGTCAATAAAATTACCAATGTCACATAAATAGCAGGTAGCAAAGCCAAAATGCATATCCTTCTCTACCTGACTCCAAAATACTTGTATTTTTCTCCCTCAAAACCATTTTCCAACATGGAAGAAAAGGATCTTTCACTCCTTATAACTATAACACAACTTAATTTTCTGACAACATGGACTGGATAACCTGAAAATGAATCACCACAAAATACCAAGTAAGTACCTTCTGATTCAGGTCTTCCAGAGATAACTATAAATTCTGACCAAAATATATTAAAAGCAACTACCATAAGACCCTGGAGAATAAACAAATCAAGCAACATTAGAGGGGAGTTGACATTAGAAAGAGAATGGTATGGGGTGAGTTGCCCATGTCATTTGTTTATGGCTTTTGTTCTGTGAAGAGGTCCCAGTCTGTGTCATGTGGGTTGGCTACAACTAACAGAGAAAATCTGCAGTCTCAAAGACTTGAAGAACAAGAGAGGATGGCAACTACAGCCACTGGAAAATGAGGTAGGAAATCTCAGAAAGGCTGTGGGAGGGGGAAGCCCCAAACCTAGTGTCTGAACTCTGCCCGAATCTTTGCTTGACCCCTGAAGGCACTAACACTATGGCTAAAGAAAGTGCGATTTGAGCTGCCACTCACTGCAGAAGGTCAGTCAAGTAAACTGCCCACTAAACAAACAAGATCTCTATGCTGAAAATTACAAAATGCTCATGAAAAATCAAAGACGACCTAAATTGAGAGATATGCCGTGGTTCATGACTGGAAGACAACATGGTAAAGATATCAATTTAAACTGATCTGTAAGTTTAATGCAATTACTATGAAAATCCCAGTGAGTGTTTTTTGTACACATAAACAAGCTTATTTTTAAATTTACATATTTATATATTTATATATTTTAAAATTTATATAAAAAGCAATAAAAAGTAAAGGCCCCTAATCTAGCTAATATAATCTTGAAAAAGAAATAAAGTAAAAGAACTCAGTACCTGATATTAGGGCTTGCTTTATATAGCGTAAGTAATCAAGCCACAGTAGTACTGCAGAGGAAAAGATGTATGGATCGATACAACTTAATAGGAAAACCCATAAAATAGACCCACATAATAAATAAGCCCAACTGAATTTTTTTTTTTTGAGACAGTCTCACTCTGTTGCCCAGGCTACAGTGCCGTGGCATCAGCCTAGCTCACAGCAACCTCAAACTCCTGGGCTCAGGCGATCCCCCTGCCTCAGCCTCCCGGGTAGCTGGGACTACAAGGCACGTGCCACTGCACCCAGCTCATTTTTTCTATTTTTAGTTGTTTGGCTAATTTCTTTCTATTTATAGTAGAGACAGGGTCTCTCACTCTTGCTCAGGCTGGTCTCAAACTCCTGAGCTCAAGCAATCCTCCCGCCTTGGCCTCCCAGAGTGCTAGGATACAGCGAGCCGCCACACCTGGCCTCCAACTGAATTTTGATAAAGCAACTCAATGGAGTAAAGTTCTTTGAACAAATGATGCTGGCATAGCTGGACGTTTTTTTATAGAAAAAAACCCAAGAAACAACAAAAAAAAAACACCTTTGACCTAAACCTCACATTTAATATAACAGTTAGCTCAAAATGGATCACAGACATAAAACTGTAAGACTTTCAAGAGGAAAAAAACCTTCAAGACCTAGTGTTAGGCAAAGACTTGACACCAAAAGCACAATCTATAAAAGCAAACACTGTTAAACCTGACCTCACCAAAATGAAAAGGTTGGCCCAGCGCAGTGGCTCACAGCTGTAATCCCAGCACTTTGGAAGGCTGAGGTAGGTGGACTGCTTGAGTATAGGAGTTCAAGACCAGCCTGGGCAACATGAGACCTCATCTCAAAAAAAAAAAGAAAAAAGTAAAACTTTTTCTCTGCAAAAGACCCTGTTAAGAGAATAGAGTTAAAAGGATAAAGAGACAAACTACAGACTGGGAGAAAATATTTGCAAAGTACATATGCAACAATGGACTATTATCTAAAACTCTCAAGGCTTGACAGTAAAAATCAATTCAATCAGAAAATGGGCAAAACACATGAACAGACACTCCAATGAAGAAGATAAAAACACAGCAAATAAGCACACCAAAAGATGTTCAACTTCACTAGCCATTAGGGAAGTGAAAATTAAAAGCAAAATGAGATATCAAGAAATACCTACTAAAAATAGCTAAAATAGAAAGTACTGACAATACTAAATTTTGATGAGAATACATAAAAACTAGATGACTCATACATTGCTAGTGGGAAAAATGATACGGCCACACTGAAACACACTCTTGGGCATTTATTCCCAGTGAAATGAAACATTCACATACAAACCTGTACACAAATTCACAGCAGCTTTGTTCAAAATAGCTCAAAACTGCAAACAACGCAGATATCCTTCAACAGGTTAATGGCTAAACAAATTGTAGTACAACTCGAACATAGAGTACAACTCAGCAATAAACAGCAACAAAACTATTGACACAAGCAGCAACCTGGATGAATTTCAAAGAAATGTTGCTGAATTTAAAAAAGCCAATCCCAAAAGGTTACACAATGTATGGAGTCCATCTATGTAACATTTCTAGAATGACAAAACTACAGAAATGGACAACAGATGAGTGGCTGCCAGGGAGGAAGATGGCTATGGTTAAGAAAGGGCAACATGGAGCCAGGTGTGGCAGTACATGCCTGCAATCCCAGCTACTTTCAGGAGTCTGAGGTGGGAGCCCACCTCAGACTTGAGCCCAAGGGTTCGAGGCTGTACTGTGCTATGACTGCTCCTGTGAATAGTCACTACACTTGAGCCTAGGCAACATAGTATAACCCCATCTCAAAAAAAAAAAATGGGGGATGACACGAGAGATCTTTGCCGTGATGGACTATTCGGTATCTTGATTGTGGTGGTAGATATACAAACCTATGCATGATAAAACTGCACAGAACTAAATGTGCGTGTACACATACACACACAGTACAAGTGAAACTGGGGAAATCTGAATAAGCTTGGTGGGCTGTATCAACGACAATATCCTGGTTGTGATATTATACTGGAGTTCTACATGATGCTAACATTGGGGAAAACTGGGTAAAGTGTACAAGGGATCTCTCTGTATTATTTCTTACAACTGCATATAAAACTGTAATAATCTCAAAAAGTTAAAAAAAATCAACAGACCAACCTGTTCATGACCCAGATGTTGGAAATAATAGGCAGTGATTTAAAAGCAGCTATTATGACTGTGCACAGTGATGTAAAGGAAAATATGCTTGGAATGAGTAAAAAGAATAATCTCAGCCAAAAACAGACAAAAGAACACAAGTGCAATTCTAGATATAAAAAAATGTCTAAACCCCCAAATCTCACTGGATACACTTCAAAGCTGAATGAAGATAACAGGGAAAATATCAGTGAAGTTGGAGGCAGATAAATAAATAGGAATCAACAATCAAAAGAACACAAAGAAAAAAAAAGATAGGAGAAATGTGGAACACAGCCATAGGAACCTGTGGGACAATACCAAAAGGTCTAAAATGAGTAACTGAATTCCTAGACAAAAAGAATCGAGCAGAAAAAATATTTGAAGGAATAATGGCCAAAATTTCCCAAACTTGGTGAAAGGCCAGGTTTGCAGATTCAAGAAGCTCTGCAGACACCAAGAAGCATTAATATAAAGAAAACCACACCTGGAAGTAGCAAATGGTTGACAACCAAAGATGAAGAGAAAATCCTGAGACCAGCCAGGAAAAATTGCCACAAGGCATACACAAGAGCAACTCAAACTGTCACTGACTTCTTAACAGAAAAATGGAAGATGGCAAGAGAGTGAAATCTTCAAAGTAACAGAAGAAAGAAAAAACTATCAATCCAAAAGTCTAAGTTACCTGCAAAAAAATTCTTCAAGAATGAAGGTGAAACAGACATTTTCATATACAACTAGAATTAAAGGAAAATGACACCAGATCTTCCAGAAGAAATAACACTCAAAATGGTATGTGTCAGAGTAATTATAAAAGACTATTATTTTCTTTTAATCTCCTCAAAATACATAGGACTATTTAAAGCACAATCTATTTAAAATACTGTATTGTAGGGCTATAACATGTATGGGGGTATGTGTATACATATATATAATGACAACTATAGCATAAAGCAGACGTCAGCAAACTTTTTTGTAAAGGCCCAGATAGTAAATAATGTAGGCTTTGTGGAATACTCTTACCATTATAGTGCAAAAGCAGCCATAGGGAATATATAAACAAATGAGTATGGCTGTGTTCCAATGAAACTTTATTTACAAAATAGGCAGCAAGCCTGTGGGCTGTCGTTTACTCACCCCTGGTATAAAGCATAGGGGAAGCAAATGAACCTACTCAGATGCAAGAGTTCTACATTTAATGTAACATAAAACAATATTAACTCTGGATAGATTGGAAAGTTAAGGACATATAATCTGTATACAAACACACCTCCTACCCTCAAAAAGCAAACAGATTTTTGCTTTAAAAAGCTAATGTATAAATGGAATTCTAAAAATACTGAATACCAAAAGCCAAGAAAGGAAGAACAAGCTACATATCATGACAATTAAAAGTACAATACATGAAAATGACACTCATCATAACTGGATAAACAACTAGTAACAGCTTTGAAATACAGAGTAAAAGCTGACAAAGAGAAAAATAAATAATCCACAATCAAAGCTGGAGGGAGATTTTAATGCCCCTCTCTCAAAAATAATTAATAGAACTAAACCAAAAAAACCACACAAAATAGACACAGAAAACCTGATCAACATTATCCCATACTGAACTATTTGATATGTGCAGAACATAACACCCAATAATTGCAGAATATAAATTCTTTCACATATACATGATACATTCATCAAGATAGACTAAGCTGGTCCAGAAATCAAGTCTAACTTTAATTAAAATCATACCGAATATGTTCTGATTACAGTGGAGTTCAAAGAAATCAGAAATTAAAAACACACAGAAAATCCTCTTATATTTGGGAATTAATAGATTCCTAAATAAGGACCTTATAAATGAATATAAACTGCCAATATCAGGAATAAATGTAGGGTCTATCGCTATAGTAAAAGGGTAATAAAAGGTAACAAGAGAATGTTATAAAGAACTTTATGCCAAATCACAATGCGATCCCACTATAAACCTACCAAATGGCTAAAAATCAAATTACTATCAACACCAAATGCTGGGAAGGATATGAACTCTGGCACAGGCTGAGTATCCCTTACCTGAAATGCTTGGAACCAGCAGTGTTTGAGACTTTGGATTTTTTCAGATTTGGGGATATTTCCATTATGTTTACTTATTGAGCACCCCAAAGCCAGAAATCTGAAATCTGAGATGCTCCAATGAGCATTTCCTTTGAGCATCATGCTGGCATTCAAAAAGTTTTGGATTCTGGAGCATTTCAAACTTTTGCATATGGGATGCTCAACCTGTACATTGTTGGTGGGAATATAAAGTGGTAACAATCGCTTCAGGAAAAGGCCTGGCAGTTTTGTAAAAACCTAAATATACATTTATTCTATAACACAGCAACTGTACTCCTAGATATATACCCAAAAGAAATGACAATGTCCATAAAAACACTTGTAGCAGTTTTGTTCATAATAACCAATGGAAAACAGCCCAGGAGTCTATCAATAGGAAAATGAATAAACCGTGGTATACTCAGAGGAATACTACTCAGCAAAAGCAGAATGAACTACTGATATACACTACAACCTAGATGAATCTCAAAACATGTTGAGTGAAAGCCTTAAATAAAGTAGTACATATACTGTATGATACCATTTGTATGACGTTCCGGAACAGGCAAAACTAATATACAGCGGGAGAAATAATCAGAACAGTGGTTAACAATGGAGCTAGGGTAAGGAGTTATTGAGAAGGGACACAAGGAAACTTCCTGGGATAATGATCAGGGTCTGTACTGGATAAGGTTTAGATTGTACAGGTGTATGCTTTTATCATAATTCAAAGAACTGTACAGTTAATATCTACCAATTTCATTGTATTAATGTTAGCTTTATACTAAAATGTTAATTGTATAAATAAATGTTAATGGTAGATCTGAGAGATAGGTATACTGTTCACTGTAAAATTCAGTTTTTCTTAATAAAATGCTGCAAAAAAAGATTTTATAAAGATCAAACTTTTAGAATGAAAAATACACTCAATGAAATTTAAAAGTAATATAAGTTCTTTATAGAGAACTTACAATATGCATAAAAATATTTTGAGGAAGTAGGTAAATAACATTAACAATCTCATCAGAGGCAACCACTATTGGTACTGTGGTATATTTCCTTCTAGTTAGCTTTTTTGGTTTGTTTGTTTTTTTTATTTATTTTTTATTTTTTTTATATATTTTTTTTGAGACAGAGTCTCGCTTTGTTGCCCAGGCTAGAGTGAGTGCCGTGGCGTCAGCCTAGCTCACAGCAACCTCAAACTCCTGGGCTCCAGTGATCCTTCTGCCTCAGCCTCCCGGGTAGCTGGGGCTACAGGCATGCGCCACCATGCCCGGCTAATTTTTTTTTTTTTTATATATATCAGTTGGCCAATTAATTTCTTTCTATTTATAGTAGAGACGGGGTCTCGCTCAGGCTGGTTTTGAACTCCTGACCTTGAGCAATCCGCCCGCCTCGGCCTCCCAAGAGCTAGGATTACAGGCGTGAGCCACAGCGCCCGGCCTTTTGGTTTGTTTTTAAGCATGTTTTCTTTATTTTTCTACATAGCTTACTGTGATATTACCAACATAAAGTAAAATATTCTTTTTCATCATTTGCTTTTGTTCATCTGTTTTCTTGAACAAGAATTTACTTCTTCCGAAACTTGAGGTGAAGAAGTATTTTTAAAAACCACAGCTAAAGGACATTCATCCGTAGCTACTTAGACAATGGTGGACCTAGTTTGTCATAGCTATCCTCTTTTTTTTTTTTAAGACAGAGTCTCGGCTTTGTTGCCCAGGCTAGAGTGAGTGCCGAGGCGGCAGCCTAGCACACAGCAACCTCAAACTCCTGGACTCAAGCAATTCTCCTGTCTCAGTCTCCCAAGTAGCTGAGACTACAGGCATGCACTACCATGCCTGGCTAATTTTTTTCTATATATATTAGTTGGCCAATTAATTTATTTCTATTTATAGTAGAGACGGGGTCTCTTTCTTGCTCAGGCTGGTTTTGAACTCCTGACCTCAAGCAATCCGCCCGCCTCTGAGCCACCGTGCCCGGCCTTTTTTTTTTTGAGATAAGATCTCACTCTGTCGCCCTGGCTAGAGGCGACAGAGAGATGCCACATGCAGTGGCATCATCATAACTCACTGCAACCTCAAACTCCTCAGGTTATCTTCTTGCCTCAGCCTTCCACGTAGCTAGAACTACAGGTGAGTACCACCAGGCCAGGCTAATTTTTCTATTTTTAATAGAGACAGGGTCTCACTCTTGGTCAGGCTGGTCTCAAACCCCTGGCCTCACACAATCCTCCCATCTCAGCCTCCTAGAGTGCTAGGATTACAGGCGTGAGCCACCATGCCTGGCCAGAAATGAGAGAATCTTACGAACAGGTATTCTAGTATTAATTAGTTTAAGGATATGGTAGGGTTCTCTATGTTCCCCTAACCCCTGCATTTTTTCCCATTGGGTAAAATTTTAAGACCTCACATCTCTATAAATTGAGCTTTTTAATAAGTTATTTAGGTACTCAAGGAGAGCTATTACTGAGTTACTAATTCCTAATCAGTATGCCCATTATTTTATGATAGAGGCTTCACATTTATGTTTTAGGCATTCTTTCTATTAAACCCTCAAAGTCACAAGGCAGGATGAGTTTTGCCTTCCCCTTATTTCTATATCATCCGTTAGAAATCTTTTGTAGTAGGACATTTATAATGATATGTCATGCTCTGCTGACTCCTGGTGGCCTTTCAGGCACTCAGATGTCAGGAAGATTTTTCCTTGCCCGTTCAAATCCCACAATTCTGAATATGAGTGTAGTAAGCCCTCCACATAACAAATGCTTAAATCTACCACAGCATCTAACATAGGTATTTACTGTATATATCAATGCAAAAGGTAAAGAAAACTAAAGAAGGACTTTTGGATAAATGTTTCTCATTGGCCTCCTGGAATCAATTTCTGCTTTCTTTATATTCTAACATTTTAAAGGGCACATCATTTTTTTTTTCTTTTTGCTGTTGATAAAATGGCTGGAAATAAAGAGTACTTTTAAAGGTTTCAGAGGCACCTAGATTTTTATACCCTTCTCATATTGGACTTCCAAGCTAAATGTTCATATATGTGTTCATTTTTGTTTTTAAAAAACAGAATATCCAATGGTTTGACATGTGGTAAAAAAACAAACAAACAAAAAAAAAAACAAAAACAGAATGAATTGAAAGGGGCTGAATAGAGGAGAGTAATAGGAAACTAACACTCTACTAAAAACAAGCTGAGGTTCAATGTGTAGTTACTTATCTATGCATATAAGGATAGCCCTGGTAATGAGGAGGTCAAGGATAGAATCTTACAAACCTGCACGAGATAATCAGCAATGTATTCTGTTTTCAAGCAGTGTACATTCTGGGCAGCGGCTTCTGCTATATTAATTCCTGAGTCATCTGGTTTCAGTTTATTAAAGTCAGAAAAAAGATGTGTGGCCTCTTTAAATAAAGGTACAGAATGGCCAGGTAGCACCTAATGAAAAAACAAGAAGTATCACAATATACCGGTATTCCAAAGAAGTTCAACAGTACACTATGTCCTTAAGGATTACCATCTCAAAAAGCAGAGAAAATGAAGAACAATCATAGTAAACTTGGTTAGGTAATTATTTACATAAAAAATTCAGTAAATAAATTCAGTACAAACCTTTGCTCCTCCTGACTGAAGAAGGCGTTTGAACCCTGCTTCTCGAGAAGGACCAACATGTAAAATAACCTTCCATCCGCTAAATGCCCCCTACAAACAAAAAATAGTCAGTATTGAAATCATTTAGAAAATTATGAAGTAATACAGATAATGCATGATTTTATCTGTAGATAAAATTAATCTAATCTGTATATTAGTTTTATAACCAATGAATTTTACTTTTGCTTTTTTTTTACCTTTACTTTTGCCACAGCGTAATTGTCTTTAGTCAGAATACTCTGAACACACAGCCATGGTTTCTGGCACATAGTAGGCCATTAATAAATACTTGAGGAATGAAAAAAACCATTTAATGATTATGTGACATTAAAACAAAACAGCCTGGCTTATGTTCAGCCTTTAATATTCTTTTTCTTACCATTAACCATGGATACAGCTTAAAGCACAACTTCTTAGATTAGATGAAACCTACGATATATCTTTTGAAAATGTCTGCCAATTGGAAAAACAAAATATTTAAGTAGTAAGTAAAAATTAACAGAAGGCAGTGGAATTTTCTTGAAAGGGAAGCAAAGCTAACAGGATTGGGAGATATCAGAGAACCTGGAATACACCATGAAAGATGATTTAACTCAGGGGTTCTGAACCTTTTTGGGAACCATGGACCCCTTCTCTAAATGCATTTTTTAAAAATAACAGCTTTATTGAGATGTAATTCTCATACCCATACCATATTGGTAATTTTTTTTTAAATATTCCAAATAAAATATAAAGAATTACATAGGAAACCATTTTACTGAAAGTTATCAAAAATTTTTTTTTTTTTTTTTTTGTTGAGACAGAGTCTCGCTTTGTTGCCCAGGCTAGACTGAGTGCCATGGTGTCAGCCTAGCTCACAGCAACTTCAAACTCCTGGGCTCAAGCAATCCTCCTGCCTCAGCGTCCCAAGTAGCTGGGACTACGGGCATGCGCCACCATGCCTGGCTAATTTTTTCTATATATATTAGTTGACCAATTAATTTATTTCTATTTATAGTAGAGACAGGGTCTCGCTCTTGCTCAGGCTGGTTTTGAACTCCTGACCTCAAGCAATCTGCCCGCCTCTGCCTCCCAGAGTGCTAGGATTACAGGCATGAGCTACCGCGCCCGGCCAAGTTATCAAAATATTAAAAACAAATCTATGATATATAATAATAGATATGTTTTACATTAATGCATTAAATCACAAAACCTAGCGGTGGGTCTAATAACTACTATAATTTTAAAGTACTAATGAACACAAACAGTATTTCAAGATACCTGTAAATATAATGCAAATCAAAAAACATCTAACTTTTGTGCAAATGCAAAGTTACAGGTACTGTTGATAGTGTTGTGATTTTTTGCCTGGATTGACTAGATTTATAATTAAAGGAAATGCTAACTTTATTAACCACAATTAGAGTTTAATAAAAATAAGGATGTATTTTTCCCCCATCCAATGTATATAGTCTTCCCAAATCTGATCTACAAATTCCTTTGGGAGAGTCTCTGGACCCAGGTTAAAAACCCCTGAAAAAAGATGCTAAAAAGATTCTTTGGAAGAAATGTAGTATGGGCCACATTTTACATATATAAATTATTTTTAAAAGAGCCATATCAACATTATATATAGATATATTAATGCCGAACACAATTAGAAGAATTAGGAATTAACATTAAGCTCAATATAGGATACCCAAATTAAAAGACAAGTAGAATTATTCTTACTTGGTCAACAAATTCTCTTAAAAAAAAAATACCGGAATAGTCACAATATGGAATCCATTTATATTACCTATATAATTATTTATGTTAATACCTCAACAACGCCCGATTCTTGTCTTTGCTGGATCTTTTTCCTCCATCTCATTGCTGCAAGTGCTAGTCGTCGTTGCTGTACATTGATTCCAGTTAAAACATCAAGTATGGAACTACTTCCCCATTCATAGTCTTCTTCCTAGAGAATTTGTCCACCAAACTTTTCAGTTTCTACAATATGGGGAGCCACTGTGTTGCATACAGGTTTCTGTCCTCAAGGAACTCACCATCTAATAATAGTTAAAACTACACATTCAATTGTAGTCAAGTATATCTGGCTTTTAATTAAAAATAAAAATACTGCATACATTTGTAAGAAACAATGATAATTACATACTGGCAACTGATAATTATTATGAGATTATTGGGCTTCACTTGCTGTAAGACTAACTTCACAGAAGGACACAGAAGGGTATGATCCCTTAAGAACTATAACTGAAAACTTCTGCAAATACATTGTGGATACTATTGTGATAGTCAGGAACCAAAATACATCAAATAAGTAGTTTCATATTTAATGGGCTAGTAGTAAAGATAAAAGCTTATAATGAGATAATCTTGAAACTTTCTAATGTTAAGAGAATGTTATTTTAATTAAACCACTAACATTAAAATTAATTTTAAAAGTGAATAAAACTGAATCCATTTCTGTGATCTCTAAATTTTTTTTTTTTGCTTTGTTATTGAAAACCTTATAAAGTTGGTATAATCTGGTCATATTTGGTTACTTCAATTATATGAGCAGTCAGTGGAAGTGTAGGAATCTCTTAAAACATTTACTTAAAAAAAACCCAAAAAAACCCTCCATGATTGTGAACACACACCTGCACAAAGTGCCCAGCAGTCCTGCATGCTTCAAGGTAGGAGCGATGAAGCACCCACTTCCCAGCTGCCACGGAGGCTAAGTACTTCTCATTCCGAAGAGGTTGTCCCACAACAATGTGTGTACAGCTGGGATCAAAACTCTGCTTTTCTATCACTAATCCACCTTAAGTAGAGAAAAACTGCTTGTATGTTATTGGTTCTTCTTTCTAGGAAAAATATAATCTCAACCGTGCATACAAATCATTTATAAATAAAATGCACCAAGCTATATAAACCAAAAAACCTTGACTGACACTTATTTCCCATATAAAATTATATCTATTATGAAAATTTCCCTTTTTTTTTGAGACAGGGTCAGTGCAGTGGTGAGATCATAGCTCCCTGCAGCCTCAAACTCCTGGGATCAAGCCATGCTCCTGCCTCAGCCTCCTGAGTAACTGGGACTACCAGGGTGCACCACTATGTGCCTGGCTAATTGTTTTTATTTTTTGTAGAGATGAGGTCTCATTTTGTTTCCCAGACTGGTCTTGAACGACTGGCCTTCAGTATCCTCCCACTTCAGCCTCTCAGAGTACTAGGAATATAGGTGTAAGCCACCATACCTGGCCTCTTAAATCTCTCTTAATACCTTAGTGACTGTCAAGCACTGAAGATAACCAGGAAGCTGGAAGTA